ATTCTCCAAAGGCTATCAGCTGGTTGCGAATGACAGCATTGTCCTTTGGCCTCACGGTTGCTGAATAAACAACATTTGACAATGAAATAAATAAATGTAGCTGGGCCTTTAACGAAGAAAAAAACTTGAGACTTGACATTACAGGAGAGCAACAAACCTGATATCATGCAAACATGACAGGAGTTAGTGTTAGTGTGTACTTACGTTTGGTCTCAGTGGTGGAACTTTCTGATCTAGTCTGCTGCTGAAGGAGACAAGAAGTCCGTGCAACTGAAGTGATAAGAACAGGATGGAGAGTTAAAATATGAAAACAGTGACAAAACAATTAGCATTCTGCATTAGAACACTGACAGTGCTCTAGAGAAGACATCACATTGCAAACACAGATGGCATTTATGAAAACATTTGAAACAAAGAAAACATTTGAAACAAAATATTGCATGAAAGACAGACAACGCATATAAAAACCCTGTTACTTATAACAATGTCTAGCTATTTCTGGCTTTGGGAACCATCTGGAGTAACACGCCATTATTTCATACAATCATTAGTATTAACAATAAAGGCTTGAGTACAGATTTACTTGCATAAGTTATAACATTCTGCCATTTTCGTTCTTAAACAATAAACGCTTCTGTATAGTCGTTTATGTGGTGTATAAATGTAAACTTTGTCACATAAACGCGTAATCTGGTGAACAGGACCAGGAGCTAACGTTAGCATTGGCTACCCTCAGCACCAAAGGTCAAACCTGAGACATTTGACACTCTTTTCAAGTATGTTTGGCATTCTGTTGCACTTAACCCTCAACAAAAAGCACTACTACGTCGAGCTTTAAGAACGAGATAATGTTAGTCCGTTTACCGTTTAAACTCCTTCCGAGACCTCCGCGGACAAACCGCACCAAAGACGCTGCCATGTTTGCTCCGTTCAGTAGTTTCTTTCCCAGCGTTATATGCTGCTGTTAGAACTCTGTCGCCCTCTGATGGCTCGGAAGACACATTTTGACGCGAGGTTCCGTTACCGGTCAGATTTCTTTTAAATGAAATACGTTATACGGAAATACATCACGTTGTTGATTCCAACAGGAAGTCCTTAAGTCATGTTTAAAAAAGCTGCCCAATCTGATACTAAACTACTTACATGCCTCTACACACTCCAGTAACTCAGACGTAATAAAATTAGCCTAATAGCAAGTTTGTTTCATTACATACAAACATTTTATTTTATATAATTTTTACATCCTAAGGCACAGGAGAAATTGTACATACATTTAAATAAAAAATGCTAATGCAGACAAAACAGTTGTTTGTTTAAAAAAAAGATACAGTATCCAAAATATTGTTTTTCGTATGAAATTTAACAGTATATAGTGGCTAAAACAATTACTGAAGTCAAGTTGATATGTTCCAAGGATTTAAAATAGACATTGTTCAAGTAAATAATGAATATTGTCACTGATGCTTTAAGTGTTCAGGTGTTTAAAAAACACAATTGTGTTGTAGTATGTCTTCAGTAATGTATAATGAAAAAAAAACTCGAAATCTTAAACATAAAAGTCTTTGAACTTTAAAAAGCAGAGAGCAGAGACTGTCTTTAAGTGGACCGAAATAGATTAAAGAAAGAAAGAAAACTGCTGTGATTCATGTCTTTACACAGAGTCCAGACCAAGTCCAGCAGCAGAGTACGCACTTCAGTGTCATTGCTCGTCCTGTTTAATCAGCTGGAGGTTTCACACACCTGCAGGTAGTATCTCCTTAGCATCTCTAGCTGAGCATTACGCACCAGAATGTGAGGTCGAACTGATGCCAGCTGCTGACAGGCTTCCTCTGGAGTCCAGCAGTGTAACTGCACAGGAAAGCACATCAATCCACCGATTCCATGAGAACTTATTTAAACCTTAAATTTTACATTCATCTGTGCATATTTTTTTAATCACTTAAACCACCAGGCCTAGTGGTTACATAGAAATACAAGACAACCCTTTTAACCAAAACAAAACAAGTAAAGATGCTTTAGAATGTTTTAGAGGAAGAAACAGTTTTTTTCCGAGCTACTACACGAGCTTTGATACCTTAAAAACAACTCATAGAAGGAAGAATAGCGCAAACACCAAAGGCTTCTTGAGCTGAGAGTGACAGCATCATCAAGCTGAACAAATTTGCTATGTACTATCTTACAAAGAGTGACACTAATAAAATTGCTTCACTCATAGTTAAATAAAATGAAATCACCCTAAGATGTGATTGGAAAAAATAAATTCAAACTTTCCTATTGACTATTTAATATATTTATGTTCAAAACAGATTCACATAATGCCAAATACAACTAGGAGCAAAATATGTAATTCTCTTTTAGATTTGTCAGAATAAGGATATTTAAATTATTTAAATCTTGAAAACATTCCTATTCTGCACTAAGACAATTAGGTCCAGAATGACAGAGGTTAGGATGAGACACGACCGGTTTACTGTTGACTGCAAAAATCAAATAAAATATACTAAATTCCCAACCCTGTCATTTCTTTCTTCAGGTAAAACATACTGTAGTAAAGATTTCCCAAACCTTGCTTAATGGTATATCTTTAAACACATAAAGCAGAAAGACAACACAAATACCAACCGAGACCTACTGTTACTCCACAGTTAGATACTGACCCTGATGAGGTAAGCAGCAGCCAAGGTGGCGCTGCGAGAACGTCCAGCTTTGCAGTGAATGTAAACACTGGACCCTTTTTCTCGATGCTTGAGGGCAAACTCCACACCACGATGCAGATTCTCCAAACTTGGGACACCAGTGAGGTCCACGGTGCTCAGCCTCAGTTGCTCTACTCCTGCAGCTCTCCACTCCTAGCAAATACAAGTTGCCATTTTGATTATTGTAAAACTAATTCAACAATTTACCTTGAGAATAATATTAATGCAAGCATTTAAGGTGACGCCTCAGGTTCCTGAACTACAAAAGTGCATGTTCAAGCTTTCTCAACAAACAGTTACAATGTCCCAGTATCTTTAATTATACAACATAAACAGACATATTTCTGAATAAGAAATCTGTAGTAAAACATTTTGTTAATGATTAAACAGTATTAGTGTCCATCTTCAGAACAAGAGGTTTTTACCTCAGCTGAGTTGCAGAAATATTTGGTCTCATATTCCTCGTTCATGGTGATGACACCTCGAATATTTTCTGTTTCAACAAGCTGTAAAAGAAAAAGAAGGTTCATTTTTATCAATTGCTATTTTTAAGCATGAAAACATGAGCATTTCTATATGAGCAGTTTAAGCCTTATATCTGGGTTTATTGGATTATTTCCCATCCTGTACAACACAAATAAATAGGTTTAAGGGGTTAATGAGGTTGAGATAATAATGTGTAGTTTGACTGTCTTTAAACTGTCCAACTGTTCAGATAGGTTTATATTATTATCAAAATAATTTTCAGCAGTGGTGCTTTGGCCCAGAGGCAATGTCTCTGTTATTGGTGTGGAACCCCAAGGTTCACCTCCTGGGCAACTTTGAATCCGGCGGTTAATACCTTCCAGTGGACTCACCACCCGCAGGAAGGTTTGGGGGGTTGGTACGGTGCAATGTGATTTGGGTGGCGACTGCTGCCCCCGCGACCCGGTAACGGATAAGCGGATGAAAATGGATGGATAATTTTCAGCCTGTCTTTGTCCACGAAGAACAATGCAATAGACAAATACTGACTGCATGATAATGTATTCCACAGTTCAAAGGGTCATCCATTCTTCATTAGCTGCAACAAATATTTAAGTAATCAATGACCAATCATTGAGCAGGTCATCAACTCCTTTTTTCATACTCAATAATTCAGCTTAAGTATGAAAAAATTGAATAAAACACATTTGTAATCAAATAAAGTTCAATTTAAACCAGCACCACATTTATTTACAATTTATGATAATGTTATGTTTTTGAAAATGGTATTGTTTTTTAACATAGGGATTACCAGTATATAATTCTTATAAACTTGTGATTTTTAGAAAACCACATACTTGTCATTATGACGTTGCGTAAATCTAGGGTTACATTAAAGACTTCACAATGGGTGTTACATGTTTAAGATTTAACAAAAAAAGTGATTAACGTTTGTCACTGTTATCACCGTGTTGTAAAACAACTATCCTTCGCACTAGAGCAGTGTAAGAAGAGCAGAATACACTTAAGAATAGAGCTATAACTGATAAAAGCTTCAATAATGTCTGTGTCCACAACTTTTAAACGCAGGGTATGGTTGAATGAATAGTCGATTATTAGGAACCATCACTGATTAACTCAGCAGGTGAAGAGTCACTATTGAATAAACTAATCATTACAGGTTTAAAAAGTTCTGTTAGGCAACTGGACGTAAATTTTCAGTAACAGAACTTGCCTAACAGAACTTTTTAAACTTGACCATGACCTGGATGACTGAGAATCTTCATAGACAATCATTACAGGGTATAACATTTTTTGTAAGAGTGAATGGGTCTCTACAGACACGGGGAGGTTTCTCTGATTTGTCCACAGCAGGGTCAGTATCAGTGCCTCACCTGTCCGGTCATGGATCTGAAGGGCAGAGCTCCGAGAACCACCGTCTCATCCACCCGGTCGAACCATCGCCTGGACGACACCTTCTCCATCAAAACATTATAAGCCAGGGTCGGGTAGAAGAGTACCCTCGCTAATGCTCCAGACATGGCTGCACTCGACGTTCTTGCGCTCTAACTCTGTTGCTGTGTGGAGCCTTTCTGACCCACAGACTACGCTGTGACCTGTAGTCGGACAGCAAGCGTTTCTCCGTGGGTCCGTTTCAGTTCCTGCTTCGTGGGGGTTCTGCTTCTCTGACGCGACATCCGGTGTTGTGCGTCCTATTATTTTCACTACCGCTGCTCGAGTCACGTGGAAAAACACGCCTTCATAATGCAAAGGAATCAGTGAGAATTTTAAAAGGTATGCGGCTCTGAAGGGCGTGTATTTACAGAGGTTAGGTTTTGATGCAGCGACACCTACTGGTTACGTAGTTCGATAGTCCTCGTCGGTCATTTGGTTCAACTGCACGTCAAAACTGCACCTTGTTTGGGTATTTAGTAGTTTATAGTATTGCTATGCACTTTACTGTGCACTCAACCAAGGGAGACATGAAAGGCTACTCAGTCTACTGCATCATCAAATGCTCTATATGAATGTTAATTTGAATGATAGTTATTTCAAATCAACATAATACATCCGAAGTCGACTTCTGCACTGCATGTTATATTATATTGGACCGTTTTGCATTGTTTGAAAGTAACCCCATTTTATTTTTCATATCGCTGAAGAAGTGAGAACTTAAAACTAATCTCAGGTATGAAATAAAATAAGAATGTTTTCTTTTTCTTCCTGCCATCAATATAATATTCTAGTGTTCTTAAATGAAATATTGTATCTTATCATCACAACTTTCTCCACAGCTGTGATCACACTTTCAATTTCACATAGTAATAAAATATTTATGTAAACTGCAAATTTAATATTTTCAAAGCTTTATGTACAACAAAACATCATATTAACAAACATCAACATTTAGACCAGTAGTAACCAAACTGAGGAACACGTCCCAAAAGGGACAAAGTTATTGTTATTTATTTGCCAAATTTGGGAAATTGAACGGTTGTGAAATTGTGTTTCCTGTGCTCAGTGAGAAAAGCTGTTTGTTGGTATTTCTAACAAAATAAGTTTCTTTAACCAAAATAGGCAATGAAGGTGTCAACATATGGGTGGATGGGTTCAACAGTTCCATATATTAAATACATTGTGATTCAGAATATTTGGGAGCCACTGGTTTAAACAAATTGTACTAGAATATACACAAACATATACACATACACATATGTATAGAAATAGGTTTGGAAGGAACAGTCTGCTGTAGGTAAAATTCAACTAGGTGCTGCAATACCTTTATTTTCATTTTCTTTATTCTTTGTTTTTTTTAAAGTGCAGTGTATTCATAACACATTCTGTAACTCCAGATTGTGTATTAATTTTAAAAAATCAACATTTTTATATTTTTAAAAATATGCAGTACAAGATGCACAAATTGGACTTGATGAGTCAGAGCAAAAATAGTGTTAGCTTAACATACAAACATACAATATTTTCCTTGTGAAAGTAGTGATGAACCTGGAAAAAGAATCAGCTGGTAGGATCTACAAACTGATTATTTACCAATGGTCCACATATAAATACACATGTAACCTTCATTTACAAGTTTAAAAGGAAAGCAGTAATAGTGTCATCATGTCCGTCTTGTCAGAGATAACTACTTCATACAAAGACCTGTAATACTTGGGGGTTGGAGACGTCAATGTTGGGTAGTTGTAGAGTTCAAGACGTGGAGCTGGACCTTGGAGTCAGAGGCCTTGGACAGGTCTCGCTGTGAAAACAGATCAAGTTTCAGTGAATATGGATTTAGACACAACAACAATGACAAAATGAAAAGAAAGAATTTTGCATTGAACAATGATTAGGTATATTTGTCTGGCAATGTATGTGATAGAACAAGGTGACGTTGGTTAGTATGAATTAGTCAGAAAACAATCAAACTGATAAGTGTGACGTCAGTGATGTCTCAAACTGTTTTAATTACAGTTCAGTTACTAACAGTTTTATCTTGTTGAAGTTAGGACTTCATTAAAGTTTTAATTCAACCCAAAAACAACTTTCAACTGAATTATTTTGCCACATTGTGCTCTACAGGTATACTCCTACATTGCCTTTGCCAATTGTTTTGAGAACATGCACCTTTAATATTAGTTATGAAAAACTGGTATTAACAGGTGTTATACTTTGTTTATATTTATTGTTGTATATATTAACATTTTATTTATATATATATTGTATTTCATTTTCCATATAGTGATCTATTGTTAAAAAAAAATCACAAATGCAATAAATCAAATTTGTTTCCACAGTCAATGAGTAATCTTTTTAAATTATTGCAATTTCAATATTGCCCCTTCCACTCCCCCATAGTCAAACAGTCCTAGGTAAAGTACAGTATTAGTTTGTTTAACAGTTGAACAAAAGGTTTGATTCCTACTTCTTTATCAGGCTGACCAGTAATGAAAGAACTTTATCATATGCCAAAAATTGTTAACGTAACCTCATAATTATTCTGTTATTATGACGCAGTAGAATGTTTTTGCACTGGACTTCAAAAATAAGTTCAGTCCTCCAGTACTTTCATTTTCATTTCATTACAATTCATTTCAAGCATGCAGTTAAGTGATTAATACTGTAAGCATCACATCAGATTTCAGAACGCTGAAACACACCTTGAAGGGACAGGTTCATTGTTGACCAAGTCCCTCTAAAACATAAATGTTACATCATTAGCATTGTTGTATCATCAGATTCGACAGCAATTACCATGAACATGTTATTGCAATGCAATAAGAAAGGGGGTAGAAATAACATGTTATGAGACAAAATGGAAAATTACCACAAACTCTGAATACGTGCTGGCAATAGAGGCCATGCTGAAGTTACGCTGTGGACTGGGTGTGGTCAGCAACGCACCGCTCCCAGGGGTCCCCTTTGGCTGGGTCTCATTTTCTTTGTTGCAGTACAGCATTCGTGGGTGAGGGGGTTTACCACATCCTGGTGTCCTTTGCTGTGGATACTGTTTGAAGACCAGAGATGAGGATTAGAAAAAATATATATATATGAGGGTAAATTAAAGCAAATTAGTGTGTTTTTATTCATTGTTATTCATTTTTAGTTTAGTAAAACATTCAAGTCAGCTTTGGATGTGTCAATTTTGTGTAAAACAAACCTTATTTGCTGAGAGAGGTGGACGGGCCAGAGGCGAGCGACACACTGTTCCACCATATACAGAGCGCATGGTGCTGTTTGAGTTGGCACTTGAAAGACTGGAAGTTGAATTGATCTGTTGGAAAAGGCCGAGGTATGATGTACTGACATCCTTGGATACATTAAAAATATATTAAACTACATCACGAATGAATTAGCTGAAGAGTTTACCATCTTTCGTGATTTATTCGGCGTGTTTGTGCCCAAGAATCTGCGTTTGGTCGGTGTGCGCACTGTTGTCCCATACAGCATATCTTCCTCAGTCTGTTTGCTTTTCTTGAGATGCTGTAATTAAGGTTAGAAAAGTCAAGAAATTGTTCAGCAAAAACAAAGAATAAAGAAGTCTATAATAAGAAAGGGAAATGAATGTACTCTTTCAAACTTCTCCTTCTCTTTTTCCGTTCTGTGCAGTTCCCACTGTTGCTCCACATACTGCAGAAACTTCTGGCCGTTTACCAGAAACTCATGACCCGCTTCACTTTCCCAGTCATCGATCTGAGCTTTTAACTTCTTTTCCAGCTAAACCACATATTTAAAAAAAAAGAAAAAGTTAATGTGTGGTTGTCCCATGGTTGAGGCATTTATCTGTTTGTAAAAACAGGACATAATTGTCATTTTTACCTTAGGTAGACTTTTGTGCAACTCACTCCTTTGTTTCTCCTCCTTCAATAGATTCCCTCCTCTGTTGGTGAATCTTGTTGGATCGGTGGCTTTTTTCTGACATGGACCAATTAAACAAGATCAAGATCAAATGTTCTTACAACAAGAAACAAATGGTAATAATCAAATGCATGGAATAGCAGTTCTGCTAACGAGTGAAACATAAAATGTAACAAATAAAATGTATTAAATATATAATAATATTATAATATTTAAAAATGTGAAATATCAAAATCATAACAAATAAAATGTATTAAATATATATAATGCAGATTACAACATTTTAACTTTGTGTAAATAAAAAGGTACATACAATTATAATGCCTAGTATTTTAGTATTTTTATGCTTGTGTTAAAGTTTTTAATTATTTATTTAGTTTGATGTGAATAAAGTAGTCATCAAATTTAATATTTGGACAAATTAAAACATGCTGCGTGCATTTAAATGGAAAAAATATTAAAATTGAACAAAAAAAAAAACATGAACAAATGCAGTCTGACTTCACTTCTGAACAAGCACAAATATTACATAAAGCTCCAGCAAATGCTGTAGTTGTGAAGCGTATAGCTGTTGAGGAGCTCTCACCTCCAGCTCCAGGTACAGCCGCCAACTGTCTTCCCACTGATGAACTCCATCAAAAAGCTCTTTGTGAGCCTCGTAATGCTGCTTTAACCGCTGGATCTCAGCGTCATGTTGACTCAACAGGTCTTCAGTAAAGTCCTCTGAAATATTCCAGTAAGATGTAGATCCAAGTGAGAGAATGTCAGAAAGATCCAGAGACACAGTGAAACTGAGAACTGTAGAGATTTGTTTGCCAACTACGGTGAACTCACCACTAAAATATGGTGTGAACTCCTGCTGCTGGCCAGAGCTGAAAAAGCACTTTTCCCAAAACACTGCAATCTCTGAGCGGATGGCGTCTGTGACATTACGTATGTTGAGCAGTTTCAGATCTTCCAGGCGCTGCACCTCTGCTTTCAACTGAAGAAGAAACATTTGGAAAGTTAGAGATACCTTCTTCATAGAGTTTTTAGCAAAATCCCAACTGGAAATAATCGTACCGCATCCAGGTTTCTTTTCCTGGATGTGACCATGTGCTCATTGAAGACACTCCTCTCCTCCTGAGGGACCTGCAGTCTGTCCCACAGCCTCTGCATCCTCTCTCTGTAAGACTCACATTTTGCTTCAATTTCAACCTTGCGCTCCTCCAGCTGTTGGATCATCATGGCAGAAAATTAGTATCACTAGTGGCAAAGAGCCAGTTTGAAGAATAACAACGTGTTCAGGTATTTAGACAAATCTGCGAAAACAATAAAGGACGTTTATAATTTAAAAGTACTGGCAAGAAAATATTACTTCACCTGACAAAGGAGCAGTTTCAGTGCAGTGATATTATCTCTGGAAAGACAGAAGGAGTCCTCATCCTCGCAGACCACATCTTTTTCAAAACTAGATTCAGGAATGTGATCCAGTTCTTCCATGTACGCAGTAATCTGTCTTTTGAGGTCCATGAACTCAGCATACCGTTTTGCCTGAAAACAAGAGATTTGCACACAACCGAGTCAAGGACACAACTGTTTATTGTTAGATCAGATTTAACACAAATCTGTTTCATATTTTTCCAATATGTAACATGTATCTCTTTAAGATAAAAACAACAGCTTCTCTATTGTGTAGATGAAATAAATAAGTGTAGATTGGTAATGTAGATAAAAGAAAGCACCTTCTCTGCACTCTGATTGGCTATGTGCTGGCTGAAGTTCTCCAGTTCTTCCACTGTCGGCACAGAGTCTAGAGCAATGCCATACGCTACGGAGCACAGGATATCACACAAGTCCTGGTCCTGCTCTAGCAGTTCCTTCAGCTGAAGCATCCGACGTGTCTTCTCCTTGACCAGGGCATCCACCTGTGTGCGGATGTTCTTCTCCTCCTGAACCATGCTGATCCCCTCCTCCTCCTGAGTGTACACAGAGAACCAAACAAAGAGTGCACATGTTGGGTCACAGGTACATAAATTAAAAAAAAAAGGCGTAACTTAGAAGATAGTTACTTGGGTTTGATTTTTACCTCAAACAGAGGAAGATGAAGTTCCAGACAAAGTTTACGCATTTCTGCCCTGCATGTCTGAACACTGCTTATAATCCTCTGCTTCAGAGACTCCTCCTCTTTAATCATCATTTCCAGCAAGTTCTAGTGGCCAGAGAAAAAAACACTACAAACAGTTATACAAACACTTCTCCCCATGCATCAGGATGTAAATGCTGTGACTGATGAACTGCTGATTTTTTTAAGTTCAGTTTCATGTTGACATCTACTAAAATTGTTCTATGTTGTTTGTCTGTAACCAGGTTGAAATCAACTGTTGCTGACCTAGGAGACTAATGTATTTATAAACATCAAAGCAGTGTATGTGTCTTTTCTATTTTTTCCTGATATAAAAGATATCCCTGACTAAAAGAAAGAAAAACAAAAACAAAAAAAACAGGTAACCCAATACTGATCCAGGACCACTGAGTACAGAGCATTTTTTTTTTGTCAATGGCCTAGTTTCATGTATGGAGACTATTGTGTACCTACGCTAATCTCCACCCAGTCTTGTTCTGGCTAAAGTTTAAACTCTGAATTATATTTCTTCAGGTAAAGTGAACTTTTTTTAACATCAACTGATACCAACAGGTTACACTTTAACCGTTTTTGTAAAATGACGTCTGTATAACGAGCATATTAAGTGTAGGTGTGGAGTCATATCTGATTATATTTTACACAATTAAAAAATTAGATGTCTATATAATGGTGAATAACGAACAATAACGAACATATATGCATCCTCCTGTGTCTGACCTTGATGTGGTTTTTCACCACACTGGTTCTCTGTAGTCGCTGATCCTCCGGGATTCCGATCTCCTCCCATATGTCCTTCAGGTGGCATAGTGCTTTATTCAGGCACGATACAGATTCGGCTGCAAGCACCTCGCTGTGGGTAAAAAACGACCAGTAGGTTCGATCATCGGTTCAATTCAGTCGATTGCATCGATTATTTAGCAGCATGTTATACATCTCTTAGAACGCAACGTTTTAACCCATCCGCTGAGCTATCCGAAGTATACCTCGATCGGGATAACAAGTGGTTGAGTACAAATTACACAAAATCACTTCATCATGAAGAAGAAAAAGTTCATATTATCGTTGTCCATACCTTTTCCTCATTGTTAATCCCAGCCCTCGCTGCAGTTCTTGTTCGAATCCGTTCAAAATACAGTGAAAACTGTCAGTTTCACAGACGACGTGCGTAGCGACGCCGCCTTCTACTACTGCATTTCACAGCAACGTTTTTCACGATTCAAAACACGCGCAGACATCTCTCTGATTGGCTTTTTAGCTGTGACGTACACCGCTCAGTCCGGAAGTCTGGTGGGATTTTTTTAATCTCATTCACAGACAAATACATAAGTGTCAGAAAAGCTATATTATCTAAGAATAACTAAAGTTACCACGAAGGTATTAATAATAATCATAATAGGCCTCAGTCTTAATTCAACTGGACAATGAGTGACAGCCGTCACGTAGATATTTTTCAGTCAATCACAATTTATTTTACCCCAACTACTGCAAGTTCCACATACGTGTCCGAAAATATAGTGATTTTAACAAAAACAATCGAATGACCTACATAAAGTAAACAACTGAATTAATGATTAAATACTAAAATTATAAGATAAATTCTCTTGACATTTGATATTAGATAATAATAGCGTGAAAATGTCAGAATCTAATGTTTTCAATTTGTTCTGTTAAATCTTAATCATAATAGTCACAATCAACAATATAATTATTGGCTTTAAAATAATTGTTCCAACATAGGCAAAACGTTTGACTGCAAAAATAGGACACCATAGAAACAGAAATGGTCACGTGTACCTAGGAGTTTAAATGTACCTATTTCCAACATAAAACAAGTGAGGTTAATGAAATGATCAACCACCATGGCGACTTTGTTCTGTATGGGTTTAGTGATAGTTCATCACCAGCATTTACAACAGCAGTAATAGTACTCATCCTTTTCATGGTGGGACAGGGTATAACAGGCTTCTGCTTGTTAAACATCTAACACAGTTTCAGGTTGTTAGTTTCACCTGAACTAAGATGTAAATGGCAGTGATAAGGGCATTAAGAAAGACACTAAAAGTAGGTAAGTATTTAGTGATCTGTGAATAGACTGTTACCTCTGGTAGTTTCTACTGGCTACCTTCAGTTTCTCTAACTACTCTCTCTCTCGCTCTCTCTCAAAATATCAATGTATCTTTCTTTTCTTTTTTGCGTTACAACACAATATTTGGTTTCTAGCCATTCTTTCTTTTCTTTTTTGCGATACAACACAATATTTGGTTTCTAGCCATTAACAGTCAGTCTCAGACAAAAGACTCTTGTCTTATGTTGTAATTTCCCTGAGCAATAAAGATATAAAAACTCAAAGGAAAAACTGATTGCTTCAGAAAATTTTAAATAGAGACAAAAATGAAACCTTGACATGTTAAAAACATTTACTTATTTCATTATACTTTGTACATCTTTACAGTCCATTGATAAAAAGAACAATCTGCTCTGTGCATACTCTTCTCTTCATTCCAGAGCTGAAGGGAATGCACGAGTGCATGCAGGAATGTTTTGGCTCTTCTCTTCTTCATCACCTTCACCAGACCTCACATGTGGCTGTCGAGCAAGGCTTCGATTAACCTTGAACTGTTTGTTATTGCAGTTGTCACCACAATAAATTTATAACCTGAAATCAAAGGACAAAAAACATTGTTTCTATTGTAATAATTTTACTTAAACAGACAAGTGTTTACAAACTCATTTCCATAGTCCATGCTACCTTTCTCTTTGCCAAGAAAACGTAGCGCAGAAATCTCAGAGAAAGTGCAGCCCCCAAGGAACATGACCAGAACGATGCGGGGAGCATCAGATTTCCCTTTTACGTCAGCTCCATTTGTGCCTGATAAGACAGAGAGCAGCTAAGAGGAGACACTTTAACCAGGATACTTTGGCTTAAAGGAAAGGATTTATCTACAAATACAAGGTAAATCAACGCAGAAACATTAGTGACAAACCTGTAGCACAAAATTCATGCCCATTTAGCAGCTTTGTGGCATCTTCAAGCCCCGTCCAGCCATCGCGCTCCAACACCTACAGAGACGACAGGAAAATATATTTTGTGACAGCAATAGAAAAAAAGCAACTTTTATAGTAAATAATCCTAATTTTTCTTACCTGCTCAATCAGTTTACAGCTCAAAGGAATGTACGCGCCACTAAAGATGTAAGCCATGTCTCGTGGAACACGCAAATTGTATTCTTCATCTGATTTGGGCACCTTCACCAAACACATCATAATCCAGTTTTCAGAATATCACACCACTACTCAAAGAAAGATTTTTATTAAATAAAAACTGCAATACTGATGGTTTACCAGGTTCAGCTTTCGACTCAAAGCTCTAAAGTTGCTCTTCTTTGCCAGAGAGGAAAAGGCATCAGTCAGCTTCCCTTAAAAAGTATGACAAGGCAACAATGAGGGTTGAATTACTTAGTAAAAACTACTAACTGAATATTTAAAACATCCTTCAAACCAAGTAAGAGAGGATTTAATAAATGTTTCACCTGCAGTTTTGTCATTGACCAGTTTGCCAACTTTGCTCTCCATAACAGTCAGTGTTTCCCCCGGCTGCTGCTCCACCAACAGTCCCAACCGTTTCAGGTTAGCAAATGTAAGCAGGTGGTTCATGCCGTAGCTCTGGCAGAGACAAAGAAGATAATTTTTTTATCCTGTTTTTATTCATGGATTATCAAATTATATAATTATTAGCATGGATAAAACCACACAAATTATAAAAAATAAAATTAGCTGTGTACAGGTGATGGATTTTCATTATTACCGCATTTTGGCGATAGCTTGTAGAGCAAATAACAACGTGTGTATTGACCCTATATCCAAGCAACAATAAGTGGATGGACGGTGACATTTTTGGATGTATGGTGCACACATTTCTGCCTTTTGTGTTAAAAATTCACAAATGAATTCCTGAGATTAATAGGTTACTTTTGACGGCCACCTTTTTCTGTGAACTCTTTCTTCAGCCATGTTTCTATCCTTTTTACGTTTTCACTCCACAGGAGCAGTTCTGAGACCTGTTCTACCATTCAGTCTACCTGGATCTTACTCATTCAGAAAACAAATGAACACACACCCTCATTTTTTTCATCAGGTATTGAAAAGTTTCATTAGCGGAAATGCAGGTTTGGCCTCACCTGTAAATACTGTGCTTTTAATGACCTGTAATCCTTTGACAGGAGTCCTGTGGGAAAATTGCATCACAAAAGTCATCATAAAACACCAGGATAATAGAGTCCTGCATAAGAAGTTATGGAATAAATTAAAGAGACAAATCACCATTTTCTGTGAGGGAGAGAAGACAAAGAAGTCTCAGACTCTCTATCATGGAAAGCTGTTGAGAAACAATTGAGTTATTTTTGTCTGTTCTATTAATATATTACTTAACAAGAGTCTATTGTATGTCCACAGTATAGAGAGTAATCAAGCAATAGAACCTGTCTGATAATATGCTCCTCTATGAAAGAAGTACATTCACGGATTTCAAAGCCCTCAAGCAAAGCTGAAAGAAAAAAAAACATATTTTAGAGAAAACACAAATGAAAACAAAAGAATATGTGATTGCATTCTCACAATGCTCGGTCTTCAACATCTCCTGGAAATCCTGCTTTGTTTTTTTCTTCATGATTGACTCACTGGCACTGATGTCTGTGAATTAATAATAATAATATTAATAATAGTAATAACTTCAAATGTCTTCCTCAATCTCTGATACACAGTGAACTGCTGTAACACTCACGCAAGCTGAGCAGCCGATGCTCCTGTTTTAATCCCTTCAACTCTTCGGAGACAAACGTCTTCATCTGCTTTATGTCCATACCCCGACGCTTCTGATCAACAAAGACACAAAGACAGTCAGTCAGAAATCAGTTGCCACAGTTTTACCATAAGACAATGGTACTGACCATTTACTCACATCATATGCCATCTGCAGATTCTTGGCTTTCTGACTGAGAAAGTTGAAGACATTGGAGAAATGTTCGTTTCTGATTTCATTAAAAACCTACAGAAGCGAGAAAGTATGGATGTTTGAGGCAAAATGATAATGATAACAACATCTGCAGTGGATGGTTTTCCTCCAGTGATGGTCGAACCTTATCCTGAGAGTTCAGCATGACTTTTACACTTTTATCGGAGGAGGTAACCTCAGGTCCAAACTCTACACATCCTGCAGAATAAACAAATCAATGAAATAATAAAGTAATTAACTATGTAACAAAACGTTCTTAAAATTTCCTTATTTGATGAAAATGTTTGGAAAAAAAAAACTCATACCACCAATACATACCACACTTGATTCTAAATGTATCATCCACAAGTCCTTCATAAACGACTTGTGAACACAGAGGAGTGACAAAATCCACATCTGTGTAAGACAGGGATGTTGGATTTATATTGCACAGCTCAGTGTCAAAGTTGTTATGTTCTGCAGGAAAGTCATATTCAGCTTCTTACCTCTGTCTATAAGAAAAACATTTCCTATTTCTGCCTGGCGACCTCTGTTTTCTTCCTCTTCTACCTGCTCCCTCCATGACTCATATGCCATCTGATACCAGAGAGAGAGAAAGAGATAAACTGTTGGTATCATAATAAGCATTGTGTTTTTTAATGTAAACTTGTGTCACCTTAGAACATCTTCCAATTCCGTAAATCTTTGAGAATGGTCCGTAAATGGAGTGAAGAAGGTGAAGAGCGCTCCCAGCTGTCCTCACCCAGCGCTGGTCACCCGCCTGAGGTTGTTAACAAGTATATAAAGTTTTAAAAAATTCAAGCTTGGCAAGTAAAATACTTAATACAGGTTAAACGTATCGTTTTTAAATATACATTATGAACACACATGTAATTATTTCTGTTTAACTGCAGAATTTACCAGGAAGTTGTCTCGAAAGAATTCTGGCAGTTCAAGACTGATGATATCATCATCCAGTGGAAGGAGATAGAAAGCCCACTCATCCGTTGTCACATCTGTCAAGAGGACAAGAGCCTTAATACTCTTTTCATCCTGATTGAGATGATCACTGCTCACAATGATATAAAAATAAAACACTGACCACCAAATATCCCCTGCTCCTCCAGCACCATTTCACATGCATAGAACTGGAAATAATCAGAATAAACAGTCATGAAATATAATTAAAATTGAGTCTAAAATGTGTTTAAGCACTTGTGCGTGTACAGAAAAACCAATTTTAAATACCTTCTGAGGTGCAAATATTAACTTGTATCTTCGAAATCTTCCTACTGTTTTGTCTGCATTGACCACACCTGGAACATGAACATATGTAAATAATAAAAACCTGCAAATGTAATTGCTAGACACAACACAAAATATAGAATGTCGCAGCAGTCTTTAATAACCTTTAATCAAGTCATAACATGCACTATTGCCATTGAATTCATAAAATCTCTAGAGCAGACTAAACGTATGTTATACCACCCACTGTGTTATTAGGAGTAGTAAATATTAAACCTTACAAAACCCTTCAGCTTCACGAATAGCATTAACCCAACAGAGTTAGTTGTAATCACAGTGCACTGGCTCTATGTGGACACAGTCCAACAAAAGGAAACACAGTAACCATCAAGATAAGTATAACACCCTCAAATGGAAAAGTCAAAAACTACTTACCGCATATCCACTTCACAGTTTTTATTCTTGGTCGGATTAGAAAACAGAGTCTACACAAAAATAGTACAACAATATCAGGCAATTAAAAATGCGTGTTTGTTTGCGGATGTGTAGGCATATGAATAAAAAAACAAAGCATAACTTACTGATCTGAGGTGCTGATGATGGGTTTATATTCCACTTTATAGAGTTTGTCAACTTCGTGTTGCTGTAAGAACGATATTATCAAATGTTAATTTATATATATATATATATATATATGTTTTTCAACAGTATGGGCTGATGGTCTTCATAAGAGTATACAGAGAAAAAAAATGCTCACCTTGAGTGTTGACAAATTTGCAATTCGATCAAGTGGGCTCATCAAGTCTGCCTCAATAAAAAGGTCTTTTTTTCCTGGTAGCTTTGTTTGACAAAACAGTAAGATTGTTTAATGATAACTGATTCTGACCACATTATCTAACAACAGCGAAATGTTAAAAAATAATAATACAAATAATTAATATCAACTATAAATAAAGTGGCAGCGTCAAATGTCCAATGAAGCATAGACATATTCTAATTATTTAATTTTACCTGCTCCAGCAGGTAGATGAGCTGATCTCTAGCCAGCCTCTTCAGCACTGAGAAATCTGGAAGCTGCGGGCAGTCTCTCCTGGCATCGTAAGCCATATTGGGTCAGGATAACGTTCACTCAGCCACTGCACAACATAATTAAAATAATAATTTCATAACATTGATACTCTAGAAATAAAAACTGATTGTAAATAAGCTAAAGTAATCGGAAAGTCATAAAAGAGATATCACTGAGGTTTACCTGCTAATACTGTTAGCTTGTTGGCTGTCAACACACTCCTACATCACACGGATTCTCAACAGGAGGTGTCAGCGATGACATCAACACTTCAGTACCGTAAAACAAAAAATCAAATTACTGACAGGAAGTAATGAATAACTCTTAAATTACTGGGTATTTAAATAAAAGAGCATCCGGATAAATAGCTGACACATCGCATATGTACTATAGCGCTCTAAACGAAAATTATCCTTGCTGCTGTTTCTCCCCGGTCACAAAAAGCAAACGGACTGTTTTGCTGCTATAGGTAGAATACGCGACGAAGTTAAGTGGGCGTTATTTTATGATATTATAAGTGCATATTATTTTCGACCATGAGTTCAGACGCACTTTTGTTGTTAGAAACGGTCAATTTTGCTGCAGAGAAACATCGTAACCAGCGACGTAAAGATGTGGACAGTACGCCTTACATTAACCACCCCATCGGTGTGTAGGTTTAACGCCTTCATCTGCTGCATGTCTGAAAGTTTACAAACTGCACAAAATCTGGTGAAGCTCTTTCATTTTTTAAAAAACACGACGGAATATCCGGAAATATTTCCGCCGATGTGATTAGGCTGATAATATATATATATGTGTGTGTGTGTGTGTGTGTATATATACATATATATATATACACACACACAAATGGTATGTGTTAAAACCATTTATTCTTCAAATTCGTCATAAGCAGTTGTCGTAGTTAAAAACAGTGTGTTTCTAAAGTCTTTCGGATTTATGGAACACATTTAAAGGTGCTCGAATGAAAGAGAAATAAAAGGTTGATATTTGAAATAAAAACAAAAGAGACAATACTGGTCAGTATGGGAGCAATTCAAACAAAATATCGAAACAACAATCATTTCTTCACTGTTTATTAGAATAATGTGATGACAACAGTAGTACAGTGTGGACTTAAAGACAGTAAAGCCTGAGTCATATACACCGTGTGTACCTGTGTACAATGCTGTAACCTGCTTGGCCACAGTTGAAAACAGTGGTAACATAAGTGTTTACTTTGTAGGTGTTGCACAAATCCTGAGCCATGAAGGTGGCATTACAGACATTGAGGTTTTGCAGGTAGATCTTTTTTTTTTTTACAATTGATACAGTTGAGTTTTAAAATCAGATCATAGCTTTTACAAGTGTGTGTGTTTTCACCTGACAGGCTGCTTTGCTTCATGACACAGTGGAGGACACAGACACAACTTTTGCAGAGCTGGAAGCCAAGTTTGGACAAACCGTAGCTCGCATTGTTAGTGAAGTGACTGATGACAAAAGTCTACCCAAACAGGAGAGGAAACGTCTGCAGGTGGACCACGCTCCTCACTCCAGCAACCAGGCTAAACTTGTCAAACTGGCTGATAAATTATACAACCTGAGGGACTTGAACCGCTGCACACCAGTTGGTCAGCACCTCCCTGTCACTTCCATTGTTGACATGCTTCATAGTTATTAGTAAAAGTTATATAAACGTAGTTATTAGTATAAAGGTTTCTATGTTTTATTACCTTAGCTACATTCCAGACATTGTGTTTATCAAACGTGTGGATTTGTATATATGACAGGTTGGACAGCTCAGCGAACCCAGGAGTACTTTGTGTGGGCTTCAGAAGTGGTGAAAGGCCTGAGAGGAACCAATCTAGTCCTGGAGGAGAAGTTGGAGGAGCTTTTCAGACAGAGAGGAATCCAGCTCTGACAACATCACTATAATACTGTTTACATTATACATGAAATCCATAATGTAATGGTATTACATTAAAGAGTCTCTGTGTATTTAAAAAGAAAAGATACAAATGAAAAACATGTTGTTATTTGTAAACTGATGCACTTAAATAAAACTGGTGTTCTCACATACTGAATGATCTGGATCTGTGACAGTTTTGGTTTGAGTTAACATATACATATTAGTTATTACATGATGTTAAACTCAAACTAGACACAGTCCCGTGACCTACTGCACTTTTTTCAAGCTTGGTTGAGAATCCCACACCTAGTCTGCACAACAGAAAGATCATTGCCCATCAAAAGGTGGCTCTGATTTGTAAGGTGGGCCTTTTTTTTAGCAAAGTCTTATACATGATTTGTTGGGATTGGATACCACAACCAGGAAACTACAAATCATGTTGTTTAACTTGCAGTTCAATACGTTATTTACTTCACCTGCCACAAAAGGATCCTTACATAATGAGTTACGTTTAATCATTAAACATCTGTTTTGGAGTGAGATTGAAAAATATTAACACTTGTGACCAGTGACGATATTAAAAGGCAAATTAAACTCTTGCACACAGATTCACGCAGTACACGCATGCCCTAATTATGGGAGCAAACCTTAATGTCATCTGCTAAACCTTTTTTATACTAGACACAAACAATGAGATAGAAATGGAATGATCTAGTTTATTTATCAAGGTGTGTAATAGAACTCATATACAAAGGTCTTTTTCTTTTTTATGTATATCTAAACATTGTATATATGTACATACATATCCAGTTCATTATATGTTGAACGTGATACACAATAAAATACATTATTTTACTCTACACTATATATGCTACTGTACTATATTATTTAATTATTATATATGTAATTTTTGCTGCATGTTGGTCTTTTTAATATATATATATATATATATATACTTAAGCAGTAAGCTATTTAAGCAGTAAGTTATCACATGGACAATAGACGTAACGATTCTCACAGATACTGTGTCAGAATCTGAAAACGCGAGGCGGAACCAACAATTGTGCGTGGTCTGAGCAAAATCAACTTCCGGTCCATTGACAAAGATTGTTACGTTTCCGTCTACCCGTAACTTGAACGAGCTGATTTTGTCCACGAATAACTAGGTTTTCTTTATAGTTAGCTGTTTTCGTTGACCAGGCAATCATGTCTAGTCACGACGCTGTTAACATGAAGCTACCACCGATTCAATCCACAGCCGGAGCGATTCCGGTTCGAAATGAAAAAGGTGAGACTGGAAAGTTAGCATGCTGCTAGGATTGTGCTAAGTTATCCTGAGGGGTGCACTGCAGCTTATTTTAATGTTTCAGTTATGTACTGATTGTTTTTTCTCGTAATAAATGGGTCTTGACGTGCAAAATTGGTTTCTCACAAGCGATCCAGGCCCAACTACAGATTCTGACTGAAACATGGCAATTAAAAGTCTTGCTTTTGTGTGACTTCCCAGTCCACGTCCATTCTCTAAATTAAATAACTCTAGTACTTATTTGGACTTGATGTTTTAATAAATCTGTTTACTGCTTAATTGTTTGAGGACGTTAACGTTTTGTCGACTAATCATAAAACATGAATTGATAAACAAATGTGTTAGTTGGATTGGTTCTAATATTTATGTTATGCCCGTTGCAACAGTTTTAGAAATCTGGTAATTTATAAACACTTTTTTAACAACAACACATTTTTCAACTACCTCATATTTCAGGTGAGATTTCCATGGAGAAGGTGAAGGTAAAGAGGTATGTGTCGGGTAAACGTCCCGACTATGCACCGATGGAGTCGTCAGATGAAGAGGAGGAAGACTTCCAGTTTGCAAAAAAAGGGAAAGAAACGGAGCCAGAGGTGGAACTGGAGGAAGAAGATGTTTCTGACCCCCGTCTGAAACGTTTGCTAAACCGAGTTTCTGAAGATGTGGAAGAAAGGTAATTCAATATTGATCAAAACTTGACTGAAGATGTTTTTTCTGAAGTGCTTGATTTCTATGCGACAGCCTTATATTTTTTCCTTGAAATCAGGCTTGCCAGACACCGACAGATCATAGAGCCAGAAGTTGTTGCAGAGAGCAGCGAAGACTCTGATGAAGGCACGTGGCACCCAGAGCGTGAAGAGAGTAGTGAAGAAGAGGAAGAAGAAGAGGAAGAAGTGGATGATGAGGTTCCAATCTTTGTTATTATTCTATTTTGGAATAACTGTAATCTGCCCAGATGTTTTGAACGTTAAGAAAATAAATATGTGCAGGAAATTGAGAGAAGACGAGCGATGATGCGTCAACGTGCTGTAGACAGAAAGAATGAGGAGATGGAGGTTATGGAGGTGGAAGAGGAAGTGAAGTCGGGAGACGATTCAGAATCTGAATCTGAATATGAAGAGTACACAGACAGTGAGGATGAAGCAGAGCCACGACTCAAGCCTGTCTTCATTCGCAAGTATGGACCTAGATGAACAATTACTGTCAGAATGATCTTTAAAACGTAATGAGTATTTGCATAAAAAAAATTATATATGGAACTGAATCGCATCTATTGAAGTTAGTAATACTTTCAAAATATATGGAACTGAATCACATCTATTGAAGTTAGTAATACTTTCAAATCCTGTAATGTGGCAATGAAACAATGGATGCAAAGAAAGTACATATTCAAAGTCAGATTTCTCTTTTTTCTCACAGAAAAGACAGAATTACAGTGGCAGAGCGTGAAGCAGAAGAGCAGAAGCAAAAAGAACTGGAAGCCGAGGCCAAAAAACAAGTTGAAGAGCGAAGGCGCTATACCCTGAAGATTGTGGAGGAAGAGGCCAAGAAGGAGTTTGAGGAGAACCGGCGTACACTGGCTGCTCTGGATGCCCTTGACACTGATGGGGAAAATGAGGAAGAAGAGTATGAAGCCTGGAAAGTGCGAGAGCTGAAACGCATCAAGAGAGACAGAGAGGCTAGAGAAGTGTAAGTGGACAGTTTGACTTGAGGGTGTCATATAACTTTTCAAATTGTATATTCATAGAGTTCTGTTCACAGCTTGGAGAAGGAGAAGGGTGAAATCGAAAGATTCCACAACTTAACAGAGGAGGAGCGCAGAGCCGAGCTGAGAAACAGCGGCAAACAGATCACAAACAAAGCTTCAAAGGGCAAATACAAGTTCCTCCAAAAGTATTACCACAGAGGAGCTTTCTTCATGGTAAGTTCAAACAGACATTAACAGTTACTGAAGCTGCAGTTTTATGTCCCATATTGATTCTCTCTTGCTAACATGTCGTTGTCCTTGCAGAACGAAGAAGAGGATGTTTACAAGAGAGACTTCAGTGCACCTACTCTGGAGGACCATTTCAACAAGACCATCTTACCCAAAGTCATGCAGGTCAGTTGTAATAATCTGTTATTCATTTAACATTTGTACTTACCTGTTATAACATTCTGTTTAAAATTACTCTGTATAAATTTACTTGACTAAATTTGTGACAAACCTATTTGAAATTTTCCATCTAGGTCAAAAACTTTGGTCGGTCTGGACGCACCAAGTACACCCATCTAGTAGACCAGGACACTACGTCTTTTGACTCAGCCTGGGCCCAGGAGAGTGCTCAGAACAGCAAGTTCTTTAAGCAGAAGGCGGCAGGCGTGAGGGACGTGTTTGACCGGCCTACAGTACAAAAAAGGAAGACATAAGAATGTCTTACTCAGCACTGCAGGGTTAGAGACTTTGCATCCAACTGCTTTTTAGGATGCAAATTAAATTGCCTAAGGATGTTGGGAGACCTGTAATTCTGGTGTTTTCAACTCTCTTAACCATATCTACGATTTATGGCTGCAGAATTGCTTTAAAGTGATCCCCCAGCCCCCATAGCCACATTACGTGAGTCTCCATGGGTTTTTAAATACCATTGTAAATACCTGATCACATGTTGGAAAATGTGTTTTCACTTGTCTTGACCTAGATTTCTGGAAATAAAGTCTGTTTGTTCATTTGTTTATTGTTATACATTCTGCAATTAAATTAAGAGGTCAAACTCGTTCAGGAACTGACATCTTTTATTTAAAAAAATGGTATGGGAGAATATAAATGCACAATAGCAGTATGACTTAAGTTGGTTGAGTCTCAAAAAATTAAATAGTCCATTTGTAAAAGATTGGATGTTCAGTTGGTAAGAGCCACGAGAGCCTCCACCACATTCCCCATGTGTTCCCTCAAACTCCGCTCTGCCACCATCCTTGAAATCTCCATCTCGGACATCTGCGACACAGTTATTATGGAAAGATGCTGAAAAACAAACTCATCACAACAGCAATGCTGTAACAGTTCCATGTTTATTTCTATTTTAAAAAGCAAAACATCAGTTTCTCAATCTAATTAAAATGTATTGTCTAATGTGAATCAACTACTAATAGTTTTATGCAATGAAAACATCTAACTTCTAATCTGGTATCCCCATGGACTACCTATGGTGCCAGCAGCCTCTGTTCTAAAAATAACATCAACATAACATAAGTCAACAAGAGGGTCAAAATTGTACTGTTTCTGTGCTTTTATGTTCATTTACACATGCAATGATATTTAAATGATGATGGTAAGACGAGTGTCTACTATTGTATGTCCCAGAACTTATCATTACATTGTTTAGGAAGTCTGTATCAGACAAGTAGCTCTCCGTATTACTAAGTGCCCTTGAAGTAGCTCTCTTTTTTTTTCAAAAAGGTTGGTGACCCCTGATTTAGACCAACATAATTCACAATGCTGGTCCCCATATAGAAAAACAGGTGTCTGTTAAACAGACAATAAATACAGAATTGCTTAAATCATTGCAAGGCTTAAGAACAACAAATTGCACATTTAAAAATTGTAGCAAAACAAGCTGCAGATGAGACAAGCACAACAACAAAACTGAAAAAACTTACAATTAGTTCTACATCCTCTTTCTTGATAGTAACTTTGGCCAATTCTTTTTCTCTGAAAACATAAAAAACAAACATGAGAAAATGCTAAAAGAAAATTCTCTCAAAGATTTGATGACAAAGAGTGATAAGACAAAAGGTGACCATACCTTTCTTGTTTGGCTTTCTGTTCTCGAGACCTCCTGTCTCCAATCACTGACATAGCCTGACAGAGAGAAGACATTGTTGAAATTAAGTTTTTGTTATTTTTGTTATAGCACGAGTTAATAAAGTTTGTACAATGAGAAGAATATTTACACTGTGATGGTTATTTACACTGTATGTATGCACTATGCTAACCCATCGCGTATTAATAAAAAACAAGTTCAATTTCTTCTTGGATTTTTTTAAAGGTGGAAGAACAAATCACATTTTCTTATTAAATAGCTGAAGATTAAATCTCGTCATTGGTCAGTATAAGTTTGATGTTCAGCAGCTGTGGCCGCATGTTTGCCGGGTGTTAGCGTTAGCCAACCGTTACGCCTTACCGTTTCTAAGTCTGAACTGGAGATTTCTTTTTCCTCCGCATAATCCGTGACTCTCTCCAGATCCGCAGCCCCACTGTCATGTTTCCGTGGTTTTTCTGCCGGTTTACCGGTGCAGTTTTCCTCAGCTTCCAAGTCCAAATCGACGTCTCCCTCGGCAGCCATGATTGCGCTTGACACTGGAGAGCCGGAAGAAGCGGGCGGCTTCCGCCGGAAAACATCGGACAGAAAACCGAGTGGCACAAGGCGTATAATACAATTTAAAGAAGAAAGGACAAATATGTATTATTTAAATAATAATAATAAAAAACAACAACAATTAACTGGATCAGTCTATATTATAGTTGTTTAATACAAAAAATAAAAAATTAAATAAAACTAGATGTTATTAAAAAGTATTAAAAGTTGTTATTTCCTTTTGGTCTTAAATATATAGCAGCACTGATTAATGAATGAATGAACAAATTAATGAATGAATAGGATATTAACCCATGATTCGGCAACTGTTATAATAATAACCAAACAATGAACTATTGAATAAAATAAGTTATAAAAATGTAGTCTGAGGTATATGAACCATTATTCAGCATATTTGCTAGAGAAACCTACAACAAAAAAAATATTGGGTAATAGTTTTTGGTTAAAGCATGGCTTTCATAAAACTATAAAACAAGGCTACTGTTGTACAAACAGCCTTTTGAGGACTGCAACAGATTTCCTGCATTGCTTTACTTTTCCAGCCCATTTGTGTTCTTGTGCCTGTTCCAATCCTTTTAATAAGGATTAACAGGAGATTACTAGAAAAGAGAAACCGTCTTGTGACTTCAACCCTGAGAAGAACTAATAATCACCACTGTTCCCTGGTGCACCTTTTACCATGTAGAAAATGTCTACTTTATTGTGAGTGTCTGTAGGAATGTTGCCATGGATGGGGAAACATCGCCGTCATCACACCAATCCCTTCATACTGCTCTATGACTGATAAAACTCTGAATGTGTGGAACTCTCACCAGCTCAACACCCCAGGGACAACATGTCTGGACGCTGCCTTCTGGCTCAGGTGAGATAGAAAGTAAATCAGGCCGAGGGTAAAACATTTAGTTTTCTCCTTATTGAGAATTTCTCACGATCATACATGCCTGTAATGTATGTTTGGGAAACCAATTTAAGTTTTTAAGCAAAATACTCTGTTCTGAGGATTAAACTGGCACTGTGATGTTGGATATAACGGCCCGTCTTGTAATAAGTTATGAGAAGTCACCACAAAAAACATACAAAACAAACAAACTAAAATGGGGGAGGGGAGGTAGGAAAAAACCTGAAGAATAAGTTTAATGTGAGAACATGGGGCAGATTAAATCTTGATTCTTCTTCTGGCCTGGGGATATATAAATATTCATTCCTATCACTGATTCATATGAATGAATGTATGGTCGTCGTTGAAAGGTACTGTTCCATTGCCTGCTGGTTGTGCACTGATGATGTGCACCCTTTATTCTATTTACAAAGATTGTGACAATTTGAAAAAAAAAAGAGCAAGGTAATCACTAGCTGAAAATGAGCGCTACACTTTAAAACATGATTATTTATCTTTTCCTGTTTTGGTAAACAAAAATTGAATTCCTACTAACTGTTATTGTGTAATTTCGTTGAAGCCATAGATTGAGCACTTTTGCTCAATCAGTGATTTGCATCTACTAATTTGCTTTTGTTTGTACTCTTTGGCACTTCCTCCCCTCTCACAAGGCAAAACCAATTATCTGAATGCAAAGGGGCCCCCAGGAATGCTGGGACATGGCGGTCTGGACCACTCAGAGCAACATGTGTTTATCTCAGGGATTCTTAAATTGGAGGCAATCATTTGCAGTGAGATTAAATATACATATTTCCATCTATCTATCTATCTATTACAGGGATCACAAATTTTGTGTTTGTAAAGAATAACCATTGCAAAAACTAAACTGGCCACATTGCTTTTTGATTTTTGTTTATACAAGTAACACTTTAGTTGAACCCTTGCATAGTATAGTTTGTGTTTAAGCAAGAATATATTGATAATTAATTTAAAAAATTGTTTTTGATGATTTTGATGCATTTTTGTTTCAACTATTTGTAGGTCCTCACCTTTCCAAAGCACCTCCACAAAAAACTAAATATTTGTATGAAGAAGAGTATGACATTTAATTATGAATCAATAACTAATAATCCACTAATTATAAAATATACGATAAGATGAGATGCACATAAACATTTCAGCGTTGTGTATATGTGCAGACTCAACCTGAGTGAAGCCTACGCTTGCTGATTCTGAACGCAGTATAAACCAGAGGGTGAAGCTTTTAAATCATCATGGGTGGAGGAGGAGAGGGGGGGTCAAGGTCATTCTGACTGAGAGTGAGGCTGAACAATGGTGGGATTATCCCTGCGCTGCAGCCTGCACACTAACCCACATCTAATCAGACCTGCTCCCCGTGCAATCAGTGTTTTATACACCACTGATACAGACATCACTTCACTACTCTTCTATTGTTTCATTACTGTAACTGTCTGCCATTAACATCTTAACTAAAAATAAATATCCAGCTCCAACTGACAGATGATTTTCAGCAACATTTGGGCAGAGAAGTTTTAGTTGTGAAACAGCTAGAAGACACTAGACACTAGTTGCACACATCTACTGGGTCAGTTGCGTTGATAAATATTTGCATGCAGGTATACTTTGACCACTTATATAATAGGGAGAATTTCTTTTGTAAGATTATGCTATCAACCAACTGACAATCCTGAGCATTCTGCAGCACTTGTGTTTATTCACATATGACGTGAATGGATTATAGACATTTTTTTATGTGAATGATGGAAGAACAGGAGGTAAACGGTTACAGAAACAGGCCATGAAGTGAAAAGCATCAGACTTATTTATTATTATTATCAGGTAATTGTTTAATAAGTCTGGAGTCTGGATTAAACGTTGGTGTCCAAATCCCATCACACTCTGAGTTTTGAGCAGCATGGGAGGACGTGTGGGAGAGGACAGATGGTGACACACAGTCCCTGTCAGTGTCCTCCTCCTCTTCTTCCTCCTCATCCCTCCCCTTGCAGACTATCTGCTTAATCTGACTGGGTATAGGGGGGGGGGGGGGGGGGCACTGGGAATTCTCCACCATCTCTCTCTCTCTCTCTCTCTCTCTCTTTTCTGGCAGCACCCAACACAGCCACAGAGCCAAAGCACACAGGATACGGGCAAACAACCAACTTATTTCCATGTGAGGCTGGACTAAGGGAAACTGAGCAAGTGCTCATGCTAAAGCTATCAGCTGCAGGGGGACAGTTTGGACCAGATTTACTGATAATCCAGCAGGAGAGTGTGGAGACAACCTGCTCTGTTGAGCAATCAGGGCTTTACTTTGTAGTTTTCTAAGAGGCCGTTTTCTTGACTTTTTGTGGATATAAGGATGGTATGTTCTCAGGCCATCTGAGAAAACCTGTGTGTGAGTGCTGAGTGCTGATGGCCAAATGTAGAGCTGTGGTTTCTGACGAAAAACCCTTCACAGCCACAATGTCGGCCACTCAGGGAATAAACCGCAGCAGCTTTTACAACTACTTCCTCAACATGGTGGCCTATCAGGTGAGAGGTAGTAAGAAGGTAGTAGCAGTCTGGGTGGCACTAACCGTACATCGTTCACGTTCTGATTGATATATAGTATATAGTGATACTTCTTAGTTGTGATATTTTTAAACTCTAGATACTTTAAAATTTGTTTTCTTTCAACCCTAGCAAAAGCAAAAATGAATCAGAAAGAACCAAAACTGAAAAAATCCATACTCAGTTCCTTCTCTCAGTAATACTGCATCTAATTGAAGTAAAGTAATCAACATATTTGCTCCATGTACTGCAGTTTTTGCTGCTCATCTATTATACAGTATATTAAGAAAATATTTTAGATATACAATTGACCCTGTTACAGCATCAGCACTTACTGCCAGCAGGTTCATATTTTTGTTAACAGAAACATTAACATTAGCATTAACATTAGCATTAACATTAGCATTAACGTTATTGTTCCCATTCATAAGCTGTATCGCATGTGTACAGTGATATGTTGTGGGGACAGGATGGATCATTTCATTTAAATCTGATAACGTTTGGTAAAATCATAACACAGCAGATGTTTATTAAAACAAATGTGTTTATAAATTAGCAAAAATAAGCTACAATGCTAATAGAGTATAATTTAAATTTTCAAAAACATAGAACTTATTTTTTATTGCTAATATTAAAATATTACATTTACTGTTCTCTTATAACTAACTGAATAGAAATTGTAGTATGGCATCATCTTCATTTCCTTGTGAGGGAACAAGGAAACCTCTGACAAAAAACCCAAAAGACCCTTTCCCTTAAACTCCAACTCAAAGTTGTTCAACAAAGTTATATGAAAGTTGAAAGAATTACCATTGTTTGTAGTCATATGTACGTTTCTGGAAGCTACTGTGTTAAATAAATAAATGTTTAATTAGTTTAATTAATTTTTACTTAGTTAATAAGTGTTTAATAAATCTAAAGCCAGAGTTGAACAGTATTATTAAGCCACAACCCAAAAAGAAAAATACTTTTGAAAAATACTTCTTCTGTTGTTTTGATGTTTTTACTTTAATCATTTACTTGCCAAAGGTAAATGATAAACATGACAGGGACGGCAAAAAGTTGTCAAACTTTACAGCTTTACATATTGTATTTTCTTTCTCGCTGTAAATAAAATGATATCTTTGCACACATGCATGACCAAGCCTTAGCAGTTTCTTTTATTTAGTTTTTCTCTTAATAAATGGATGGATAAGACTTTATGATCCATCAGATTATATAATCTGCATCATTTTTTGTAACAGATTTAACAGATTTTTTGTAAGATTTAACATGACACTTGACACGACATGACTCTGACATGACGGCACCACCTAGTGACAGACACTGTCAGTTCAGTAGACTCTATATCCTAAAACAATTTTGAACTTTGTGTATACGACCTCTTCATCTCTGCCTGTCAAAATAAAGCACTCTGTTCTGGTATTTGGTAATATATGAAGTACTGTACGGAGCAGGTAGCCAGTACTGAACTGACCTTGCAGTGTTTGGATGCTGACCTGTCTGATTGTCTTCCTGCTCCTCAGATATGCTGCTGCTGTGGACCAGCTCCCTGCTCTCTGTGCTGTGCCTTCTGCCCTCCAGTCAAATCCTCCACCAGCACCCGCGTCATGTACACGCTTTTCCACATCATGAGCTGTGCGGTCTCCTGCCTCATGCTGTCCCGCACCGTCTCTGAGCTGGTCAGGGAAAATGTCAGTACCGAATCTGGTCATTTTGTTGTGTGAATTAAAGATAAATAATGAAGAACTCAGTGACTACCGTGGATACATTAAGAACAAATAGCGGCCTCTAGCCGTCTCTGAAGAAAAAAGAAAACATTTAGCTGAGAACTTTAGTCCTTTACGTCACATTTATAGTCAATAAATAGATTACATGTTATATGTGACTTATTGTGGAGAAGATTAGCAGCTTCTACCTTGATCATTAATCTTGATTAATTAATCATTCATAATGACAGAGGTTTGTCTGTGTGTGTTTTCCAGGTGCCTTTTTTCAACATGGTGTGTAGCCAGGCTCACGGTGGAGGCCACTGTGAGATGCTGGTGGGCTACTCAGCAGTTTACAGAGTCTGTTTTGGCACATCCTGCTTCTACTTGATGATGGCCATCTTCCTCATAGATGTCAAGTCCAGTCAGGACATCAGAGCGTTAATACACAATGGGTTAGTGCTGCATATGGTAGCATCAGTCAGTGTCATTACATCAAGTGTCAGTGTGGACTCTATCAAGAAACAAACCTGTTGTATGAATCTGGCGTCAGTGCCTTAACCAAACACATGAATTACTTAGCATGAATTTAAAGCTGGCCTAAGATATATATTCTGAAATAATCTGAATGATTTTACAAACATATATACAAACATACATATATACTAGCCAAACTATTAAATAATTCTAATTTTAATCCTATTTCAGTCCTGTCTGCCTCTGTTCACCTAACCTGGCCTCTCTGTCTATTTAAAGCTTCTAGTTGTCACACTTTCCACTGCAGCACACTCAGTGATTTATGAGGATTAGGATTTGACCGACCAGATTGCTAACCCGAACCCTGGTTATAAACCTACTAACAAGAGCTTTATCTGTGCCATAGTGAAAGGTTTCAAAGCCTCTGTGAGATGTAGCATCACACTGGTGTGTGGGACGTATGAAGACTGAATGTTTGTAAGATGGTTGTGACAATGGTTCCCACTACGCTGAAACCTCTAATGGTCTTGGTGAAATATAGTCCTAAATGTCTTTATTATTGTAATTTAATTATTGCAATATTATTGCTATTATTATTATTATTATTATTAGTGGTGATAGTAGATTATATTATTAGAATTTATGTTCTTAATAATATGTATTATTATTATTATTTGTTTTGTTTTGTTTTTACTCTGGTTTACTTTCCCTCCTGACTTTCTTGGGCACTGTCTGCAGCTTCTGGTTCCTGAAGTTCATCACTCTGCTCGGGATGTGCACTGCTGCCTTTTACATTCCGACAGAGTCCTTCTTACAAGGTAAGAATTGGAGCACGTGCACGTTTGTGTCAGCCATCAGGGAGACAGGCTAGAATGAAAAAAGTTGTATTGTTTATGTGTTTTTGTCTCAATCCGCTAGAGGGCAATAGAGATGAGCTTTTCCGGATGGAAAACTATTTGGCATGATTATGTTTTTTCTGGCAAAAGATATGTTTATAAGTGAGATTTATAGTCTGTTTTTAAATGATATAATGAACGCTGCTTCTTTCTTCCTTCCCTTATTTTCTCACAGCCTGGCATTATGTTGGTGTGGTGGGAGGATTTGCCTTCATTCTCATCCAACTTATCCTCATTACAGCTTTTGCACACACCTGGAACAAGAACTGGTGAGTGAGAATTGTATATAATGTATATAATGATAATTCATTATTTCATACAAGATGTAGTCACACATTTAAGATGGTGAAAGACTGGGAATCGTTTCTGTAGCAGCTCTGCATTGTTGCTAAACCTTTTTTTCTTTATCAGCTGTTTAATTCTCACACTGACAGTTACATTCTTTGTGCTGAGTCTTTTCCACAGCTGTAGTGTTAGGCTGAAAACATTCACACATGTTTTTGTCAGGTTGACCGGAGCAGCAGAAAACAAGCGCTGGTATCTGGCAGTGATGTGCGCCACACTCTTCTTCTACACCATCGCCACCATGGCCTTCACTTTCATGTACAAGTACTACACACACCCCGTCTCCTGCCACTTCAACAAGACCCTGCTGTGGATCAACCTGGGCCTCTGCGGCCTCGTGTCCTTCATTGCCATCACACCATGTGTGAAGCAAAGTGAGTTGATGACATAAACTCTTGTGTGTGTTTTGGAATCTCACTGGTGGAATAACAGCTTGTCCATCTGTAGCTGAGCAAACATCCTCTGGTTTAAAGAGCTCCTGCAGATAATCATTAGACCTGAGCTAATATTATGTTTCTCCCTCTAAAAACTAAAAATAAAGTACAGGCCTACGCTGTTTGTACACGTCTCTGTTTTATGACACAGCTGGTTTCAGAAGTAAAGAGTGAGTAAATATACATGAGCCACAGTCAGTACAGTACAACGAGAACCTCCCCTTGTAGGAAAATCTTTTACTTTAATATAAATATGCATTTCTTATTAAGAGGAAACTTGAATTTTATGTGTTGGAAAATAAGGAGGTTATTTGTTTACTTGTTTTGTGCTCTCATTCTACTTCACCTCACCACTGTAGAGCAACCTCGTTCAGGTCTCCTCCAGGCGTCCATCATAAGCTGTTACGTCATGTACCTCACCTTCTCTGCCCTGTCCAGCCGTCCGCCAGAGAAAGGTACGTCCACCAACCACAGAGTAGATGTGAAGCTGAAAGACAAACAGATCAAGTTTATTTCATGATGACCCCTCTCTCCTTCAAAACAACACGTTACACAAGTCATATCTATGTTTAGCTGTAATCAGTTGTTGCCAAACCATTAACCCTTTACTCAATTATATGATTGGTCAGAAAAACTGGTTCTGACAAGGTCATTAAAAACATGCTGTACACACATTCTCTCTCTCTCTCACACACTTACACACATTCTCTCTCTCTCTCTCACACACACCCACACAATTTACCCTTATTAGTGTCAAGGTGACCTGTAAGACAAAGAATCTCCACATTACTTTTATCTAAGATTTACATCTACATGGGAAGCATGTAAACACAAATGAACAAACTAGTAAACACCCAGGTACACACACACACGACGACACACTCAGATCAGGATGAGATGTGCTCTGACATGCATCCTCCTGAGCCGGTGGCCTGTAGTGTTCACATTCCTCATGGATCCATCGACAACATAATAACGCAGACATACAGTCTGGCACCAACATGACACACTGATGAACGCAGCTCTTTCTCTGAAGGTGATTTGTCACTTTGTCTTCATTAACCTGCTCTGTATAATTATAGCTACACTCCATCAATGTTAAGAGAACAATCTAATATTAGTTCATTGGTTTAAGAGTCCTTCAGTTTACTCTGGAGTCTGTGGTCATTTACTCACTGCTAACAAACAATCACTGCTGCTATTCCATAGATAAATCTATTCAGATAAATATTAGCACTGTCGTGTTCTGGCCTGAGCTGTCAGTTTGCCTGAAGTATTTAAACTGATGACAGCGCTATCATAGCAGCTGTCCCTCTGTAACATCGATGTGTTTCAACACACACGTCAGTACAGTAAATTGCATGTAGGAGTTCTGGCAGCAGGGGGAATTGTAGCAACATGTCAAGAAAATATGTGCGAGAGAGTTTGCTATAAAAACATCTTTTCAACTCAGAATCTAGAACATACAAATAGACACACACACATCGCATTAAACCACTTATGTTATAACTGATTGTTGATGTGGCTTGTTAGCTGCTTCCTCATTGGTTGAGTTCATTCATTCCTAATACCAATATCAGAGTGTAAACACTTTAATCTTAGGTGCAGTTTAGCTGCCACCTGTTAGCAGTTACCAAGTATTGCTGATATAGAATAGTGACGGAGGGGAATGAGTGGATGTGTTACAACCACACAGATAAGTCCATGAAGGCGGTGTTGTATGTGAACACACGCTCAATGAAATCTGAGCTAAAAATCTCAATACCTCACTCAATATCATTCCAGAAAATGTGACTCATCCTTGTCAGGTCAGGATTAGGTGTGAAATGGTTTGTATTAAGTGTGTAAGGATATCTTCATTAGCAAGGTTGTCATAACAAGGAAGGCCATGCAAATTAGCAAGAACACAACTTATATGTGTGTGTGAGAGAGAAGGGCAGGGAGTGCGGGGTTATACATGATTAGATTATTCTCTCAGGCCTCTGTTTGCTCTGTCTGTCCCTAGATGTTTATAGAGACATGACATCACAATAACAGGTCATGTCAATGCACCTGGAGGATTTGGTGACACAGTGTTTGATTTACATGCAGACATAATATTGAGCAAACTTCCTGAAAAAAATCCAGAGAAAATAAGGAGTGGATGTTGAGGTGAACGGGGAAGTATTTATTCACTATTCTCTCTCAGTGATGACTCTTGTTAAAAATGTAGTTCGAAAGTCCAAGATGTGCATGTACATGTTCAAGCATACAGTACATACTTGTGAGTGCATGTGCATGAGTGAGCATACTGTGCATTTTTGTGAGTGCAGCGTATGCCCAAGAGAGTGTCCAGGAGGCCGTTCTTGGAGAGGAACAGAGCAGCGGAGGCCTCTTTTATAAGAGAGACAGGGATTCCCTCAGATATAAAACAGAGGAATATATATACGTAGGGACAAGTGGGGAATGATGTGACAGTGTTCATGTCCAGTGCTGAGACAAGGATAACAGAAGATGAAATAACCAATACTTGTTAGACACATACTCTACTGCAAATTAATATAACATTTAGTAGTTCAATTCAGTCACAATTTACTCACCCACTGAGAAACCTGGGCCCAGTAAGTTGAACACATCACTGATATACCGGCAGGAATTAAAGAAAGCAGAGATCCTGTCACTGTGTGATAGAGGAACAAAAACAAATTCTAATTACGTTTCTCCACGGTCCATGTGATTATCTGTCACAGCCGTAGTTGGGAATCACTGAATCAGTGTGAAAGTTGACTATCTGATGAAGCTCAGGTGCGTGAGAGGTTTCCTCAGATGGGAGGAGTCAATGTGTGACCACACCCACTGATTTGTGTGCCAATTACACAAAGCAAGAAACAAAATTGATTAAGACATCGTTGCAAATAGCAATCCACAGTTTTATGTCTGATGTTTATTTATTTTTCAGAATCTACATTACTGTGAATACCTGTGAGCCAAAAAACAAAACATAAAAAAAACATTTTTCTTCTGTTGCCTCCTCTTTGCCAGTGGTGTACCAGGGCATGAACATGACCCTATGTTACCCCAGTGCCGGACAGGAAGGTCTGCAGAATGAAGGCAATGCTGTAGCCATCATCGGAGCAGCCATCATGTACTGCTGTGTCCTGTTTGCTTGGTGAATCAACTGAGTACAAAACAGAAATACAACTTTTTACCCTTGTAAATAAATCAGAGACGTTAATCTACAAGATCACATGATTAACAGTGATATCTTTTTTTTTTTGTAGTAATGAAGCCTCGTACCTGGCAGAGGTGTTTGGTCCATTTTGGATGATCAAAGTTTACCGCTACGAGTTCCAGAAAGCAACGTGCTGCTTCTGCTGCCCAGAAGAAGAAGATGGTATGACTAATTGTATGACAAATGAGTGAAGTATTACTGCTTTTGATTTTGCATAAAATCAACTCAAAGAGCCATCAAACATTATTGGCAGTAAATAAAAAAACATCTGAGCAAAAAAATATGAGCACAAATACCATCAAATTAACCTCTCATGAATCTCTGTAAAAGTGAAACAAAAAATAATTGAAACTGCTTGGCAGTTTTTTTTTTTAAAAAAATTCACCATAAATATCTCTTTTTTTTTTGTTTGTTTTTCAGTTGAGGAGGAGTTTGTGATTGATGACAACACAAAAGGCTGTCAGAAGGTGGTTCACAATGAGACTCAGCGAGTGGCCTACAGCTACTTCTTCTTCCATTTTGTCTTCTTTCTGGCTTCGCTGTATGTGATGATGACTCTCACTAACTGGTTCAGGTCGGTTCCTGTAACGAACATCTTTAACCTTGAGCTAAACAAATGAGATTCTTCCAATCACCTGAGAATACACAAAGAGATGTCAGTGTTAGACACCAGATGTTGAGGATGTTGATTACATGTAGCAAACATTTATTTACCAGTTAATTCAACTCAACCCATATTCCACATCTGTTTTATTTTCCCCAAAGACCTTGGCCTGGGCTTCAAATCATCATCATTACTAATTGACTGCATATGAATTAATCAATTTAGTCATAGAATGATGAGAGAAAACTGGCTGTGTAATACACAAATGACAGTAGTACTAACTCAGTGATTCTGAGATAATGAACCCAATTTAACTAAAAATGAAACCAAACATTTGGCTGTTGAGTAGTCAGACATGTAAAAATCATAAACGTGTGAAAAAATCCTTCCAGTTATTTAATTGGGTCATTAGAAGTCTACAGTGGAGCATTAGTCTGCTGAAATGCTGCCCCCTGTCTGTTAGTGTGTTCAAATGTCATCACGAACTCCCTACATATTCAACCAATAAGTTTGTTTAAAATTTTGGATAGTTTTCCAGAACTATAACCAAACCCTGTTGTGTTTATCCAGTTACGAGTCAGCGGTGTTGGAGACCACCTTTACCCACGGCAGCTGGTCTACCTTCTGGGTGAAAATGTCCTCCTGCTGGGCTTGTGTCATCCTCTACCTCTGGCTGCTGTTGGGTCCACTGAGCAGCTGTCAGTCTGAACCCAGACCCCGGCGGTCACGTATCAAACGGCGTACAGCATCCTCCCGCCACGTCACTGTCAGTGTCTGACCTGCTCTGGGAGAGGGGGACAATTAAAAGCAAAATCAGCTTTTCTGCTTTTCAGGAAGGTGAAAAGGGCGGGCATCAGAACACTTGGTGCTCTGCTGATGTGAGGAACGCTGACGTCGAAGACTTTGGAAGACATTTTAAAGACATTTGAATAAATAAAACCACTGATAAGGACTTGATCGTGGTTCAGGAAGTAATTTAATTTTCCATTGCCAAAGGGATCTGAAGGAGTGAAGTCTCACTTGACTGTATGGGAATGACACAGAGTCTAAATGATCATGGACCAATTTATGAATTTGTACAGTTTACAACATCCTCACAGCTATTATTGTTGACATTTTGTTTGGTTACAGGCACTGCATTTGTTGCTGCATGGGTGAAAAACAACGAGTCTGGTTTTAATATACTGTTTTTGTTTTGTTTGTAAAACTATATTTAATGCTGAACTTATTTAAAAGAGTAAGTTTGACCATTGACTTGAACGATGTTATAACAGATAAAAGGAGCATCAAGGAAAGACCCAGACTTTGAGCGCAGAGAGCTGTGGCTGAAAATACCAAAAACAGATGGAATAGACAGGTTTAACACTGTGTTACAGTTCCTTTTTCCCACAAACATAACTTTTGTGGATTTGGGTTTGTAATTTACATATTTCCCACCACAGCTTAGTAATCACTGACTGCTGTGCTGAAAATAAATTAAAGAGTAGCATTTAGCCAGACAAAGAAAAAGAGAGGCCACACCTTTTTTTATAGACCATATGGTCAATGCTGCTCTGTGGGAGTGACGAGGCTGACACCTGGACATTTAACATCATTAAATATAAAAAAGACAGTTTTACAAAGTAGAAATTACTGCATGTACTCTGTAATCTGTAAGAAAAAAAAAGAGAATACATCATTACACATATTATAAACTTGTTAAATTCATGACCTTGTCAAAAAGGCAGCTTCAGGAGATGTTTTATTCTTTACAAAAGTTATTTTTCTCACGTGTTATTTGAAACAAAAACAACCTGAAGTGTCTAACGTTGGCTGGATCACTCTGTTCGTTAAAAGTCCCATCGACATTAAAACTGACAGAATGTTTGAGCGGCAGCTTCATTGAAAAGTTCAATGTTTCTTGACACAAAACAGTTGTTGAACTGTCAAAGTCTGGCAAACACACTTGTCTTTGTTCTTGTCCTCTGAGGACAGTGACTGAGGAACAAGTTATGTCTGTCTCCATGATTCAAATTCAGGAGAAAATGATGTTTGTTTACACGTCTTTTTGTTTCCACGTCCAATTTGAAACCGGGAGTACTAAAAATATATGTACAATCCAGAGGAATTTCTCTCGCCTTCAGATGATGTCGTCGATGCTGAGGTAAATGTGCTGTGAATCTAAAGTAGGCCTCTGTTTTGGACTTGTCTACAAAGTTCATGTGGAGGAAACCTGGCAACAGTTTCTATGACTCTCCCCTTTACTGAAGAGAAGCTGAGCTTTGTGTGTGTCTGCGATGACTTTTTCCACTCTAATGAGCAGCTGGACCATCCAGAGTTATTTGGTGTCATCCCTGAACTGTGCTGTAGATGTGAAGCCTTCTATATAAATACACTGTTTTCTTTATAAAGCTTCTTTTTTTACTGTGCATTGTTTGAAAGTGTGCATTAAAATGATATAAATATTTATACAGTAGGTAAAATGTTCATTGATGATACATTTGAACACTACCCTGTACAAACACAAAGGGTTGTTTTTGGTATGTGTGACTGAGGTTTGATGAACAGACTGAACAAACAGGCATATAGTAAATCAGTGCCACAAAATAAAAATACTGCTGTTTCACATAAGGTATTAGAAGCAGACCTGATTAAACATGATATAAAATGAATACCAAACACTGTGAAAGGCAATTTACAAGTGTAATGATTTCACCTTGTTTGTGCATAAAAATATTGTGAGGGCATACATTGAATATTTTCTGTTAAAGCTAAAAAGGAAATCCACCTTACAACCCCTGATGTTGTGTAACATCAGTTTGTGACGAGAATTAAACATGAATGAAAGACATTTTCAACAGAAAACACTGATTTATTCACTTGAACACTGATAGCTCCAGACATGTGGTTCTCATATGTGGAGCTGTGGCCCAAAAGTGGAGCGCTGGATTTGATGGGTTGAAGTTCTCTGACTTTCAGTTCTGCTCTAGAGAAAGACACTCAGGAGTTTCAATAACTAGTTCTACTTCACTAGTTCTGCTGCTTTTTTACTGAATTTGTTTGATCTAAACTGGAAAGAGAAAGAAAGGAGTGCATTTTGGTCATTTTTGTTTTACCTAGCAGCTTTAAATTATGGGATGTGTTTTAATGTGATCATTTTGTTAAAATTAAAACAGGTGTCTCGCAAGTAAACACAAAAATGTGTGTCTAAAAACTAAAATAAATGCAACATTGAATGTTTGTTTTGAGGCAAGTTCTTCAGTTTTTATACAAACTCTGCAAGTACTGATGAGTTTTGGCAAATACTTCATGGAGAATGTAAAAAATAGGTTTTTTTGTGGTATCAAAGTGAATTTCCTTATTTAGTTTCAAAGTATACAAACACAAATATATATATATGTATATTTATATAAAACAAATCAATAAAACTACTGCTGTGTAATAACTAGCCATTTCAGTCAATGTTCTTCTCTTTGGTTTATGTTTAAAGGTGGAACAAACGTCCACCTAAAGTGCTCTGGTTTTCTGGTTTAAATAAACATGGAGTCGTTTTGGTTTAAATTGGTTGGTGGCGATTCTTCCTCCCCCTCCTCCTCCTCATGTTTAACTACAGTTCAGTGGCTCCTTCTTCTTTTCGTGCCTCTGTCTTCTCTTTTCTCTCTGATCTGATGAACAGTAGTTTTTGAAAGAACACCTGCAGTGAGTAAACGTTCACTGTCACCTCCTTCTTCGCCCTCACACTCACACTCAGACTCCAAACTCAACCCCTCGCTTCTGCTTCTTGTTTCATTCCTCTGTTGCTGCAAATTCTTTCAAGCGGCCGCAGCAGTTCATCCTCTCTGGGTCGGTATGGCACCACGTAGCTCAGCTCGTCCAGCAGGATGCGGTTCAGAGTTTGCTCATAGTTAATATGACGACGCACCATGAATATGTACTGTTTCCCCTCCTCCAAACGAGGACAGTCACACACATTAGGAACCCACAGGAACTCCCGGTGCACCAGACGGAAGCGGTTCCGGTAGGTGTGGATGATTTGGACGTCGTAACGCGTCTCCTCTCCGCGGTAGAGCTTATCAAGGACTTTGGCCCGAAAAACTGATGCAGAATTTATAAAGTTGAATAATTGGTGACAGAATAATTAACAAACAATAAATGTACAAAATCCAGACTCACCAAAGTCCTTTTGACAATACTGTTTCTGACGTTCCCTTCGACCTTTGACACGGTGGCATTTCCCACAATCTACTAACAACCAAACAAGAACAAAATACATTTTACTATTATCAGAACAGCTAGTAAATTGTCTGTGGGAGATGTTTAAAAAAATGTGATAAAACAAATACACATTTCTTTAACTGACAATTTTCAGAGTGATCGTACGACATACGGCTGCCAACAGCACAGCGTCAGGATGAGCTGGTGAACTTACTTCCAGGCGAAGGCTGAGGCAGAAGGTTTCTGTGGTTCTCCTCCCGCTCCAGACGAGGCAGGATGGGCTGATGGGGCCGGTGGTGTCGACTGTGGTGATCAGACTGACGTGGGGTCTTTGCAGGTTTTAAAACTAACAGATAGAAAACATGAGAAAGTAGGCTCTGTTGTTTATTTATGTTGAAATAAATGTAAGTGTGAGCCACATAAAGATGAATTGAAATTAAAACCAGTTATAGCCAGCAGTCGGTATACTGGATCAATGGACATTTATAATGTTTCTATTTGGTGGACGGATCGCAGAGACACGAGGTGTGTATAGTTTAGAGTACTGTGAAGGGTGTGTTGAAAAGCTAACTCCTGAGAGTGTTTTCTAAAGAGGTGAGATGGACCACACATGTTCTCTAGTCTGATCATATCAGATAAGAACTGCCTGCATTTCTTGGCAACAGCACAAACAAAGCAGCTCAGTCTGACAATAAAGAGTTCAATCATTCAGATCTGATCTGAGGATGGTTTGGTTTAGGCTTTAACCCGTTCATCACACACTTTTACACTGAACTTGACTGATGTGCATTTTTGGCCTGAGAGCAATTTCTCAACCAACTTTAGAAATAACAAATATAAGCAGCGGCCAATCAACAACTGCTCTGTGTAACACAAAGTTCAGTACTCATTTAAAAATAAATACAAATACTCTGCAGCACTGACGCTGTGGAGTGAACACCAAACAGCTTACAGAACACACAGGGGACCATCAAGGCTGTAGACCACCAGAAATGATGTGTTGTTACATAGAACAGTATGTAAACAGTAACAGTAAAATAAATTATATTGATGCATTATGTTATGACTGGGCAAGTACATGTGGAAACTCCCAATGTTGTGTAAATACAATTGATTAATTTATTAATGAATTTGTTTCAATAAAAAAACTTATATTTGCATGAAATCAAATAATTCACACTATATAAACAAAAGTAACAGTATGGAGGTCTTACACCAGAGGGGTTTGTGGGTGCCTGAAGGAGGCGGGCTGATGGTGGTGGTAGGAGTGGTGGTGGTCGTAGGTGCCGGAATTTCCCATGGTACATAGCTATCAGCATGGTGAGCCTGACGCAATGGACTCCTCTTTCCATGGTAGAGGGAGTACTGGTCTGGGGGGAGCCAGTACTCGTACTCGATACCTGTGTTTTTGTCTGTTGCCAGGACCTACAAAGGAGCAGCACAGACACGTGTCATACCTGGGAACTAGTCACCTAGGATGGGTGGGCCTCATCATCAGTGGATGCAGCATGACAGGCTTTAAAGTGGCCTGGGTGTCAGTTTTAGATTTTCTAGAAAGAAAGCTGTTTTATGATATTTTATGTTATTATACTATTTTTAATAGAACTGGCAGGAACCACAAAAACAGTGGAATCAGTTGTTTGAAAAATGATGTTCCTAATAGTACTGTCTTGTCCAGCAACTTTGAAAGACTGTCACCATGAGATGGAGGTCTTCCTGGGTGGGTCCGGCCACCTCAAAGCTCTCCCATGTGTCTGCTGACCGTCGGTACAGTAACTTGGTTCCGGCGACACTGTACTCTCCTGGAACACTTATCTTCCAGTTTCCATTGATCACAAACTGGGAGTGACCATTTTGGAGCGCTGGTAAAGGAAATGAGATCATGGAGAAAAGACAGGTTTGATGTTATTTACTGTCATAGTAACTGTACTGTGTGATCGTCTGTCTGGGTCAGTGGAGTTAAGTGCAGGCCGTCAGGAGCAGATGTATGTCAGCTGGTTATGAACTGCAGCTGTTTTCCCTCTGAGGCAGGAGAAGCTTTTCTCCATGTTGGAAAAAAAATACTTCACCTGAGTCAACCCAGTTGATCTTTAAATGTCCAGCACCTGGGACATGTTGGTCTGTGTTTTACTTTAGTCATGTAGACAAGAATGAGAATAAATGACCATGTTATTAAAATGGGAGCAGAAAGAGCTGCTGTCACTCATACCAGAGTGTTTACCCTGGATCAATGAAATCAGTCAGCTGAGACCAGGACAGGCATGTGTGAGATATTACATGTGTGTCTTTTTATTGTTGCGGGGACATCACCTTTTTACAGCCAGAATCTGTTCCTGAAGAGTCATCATAACAACGTGTATGTGTGTGTGGTTCATTCCTACCCAGATAACTCTTGCTGTTATCGGTGACACGGATGTGAGTGGCTCCAGCTGGTATCATGGCCACTTCGTTGTAACCAAACGGCCCACCTGGAAACACAAACCACCAAGATAAAAAATCTATCTTATGTTGTACAGATAGATGAGTCATCATCTATCAAGCCAATGGTTCCCAACCTCTGTGCTGCGGCACATTAGTGTGTCATGAGAAATCAATGACAATTTTACTCAATTGGTCTGAAAACTATTGCTTATTTACTGCATAAAATGTGTCTTCGTTCGTCTGTGTGAGAATGACAGCAGAAGAAAAAGACATTATTCCACAAGGTGGCAGCAGAGGCAATAAAAACTAAAAAAAAGAGAAACTGAAAATTCTGTCCTTCTTCAATTCCTGCGAGTATTTCAGCAGTGTTCAACAAAACAGGTCTGTGTATTTTATTACAAATAAAACGTTTTTGGCTGTGCACCACAGAACTCTGCTAAATTAAAAAAATAGTCATGGCTCAAAGATGGTTGGGAAACATTGAATGAGAAGATTATACCACAAATGGCATTTATATCAGGTTTGTAAGAAAAGTCACTAGTCTTCCTCAACACTTACAGCAGCAGTAGCATTGATCTCATGTTTATTCAGTACAATCAATGTTTACAAAACTGAGAAGATCAAAACTGAGAAGATTGTCATAAAGAGCAACTAAATCTTCAAGCTTTGTCATAAAGAGCAACTAAATCTTCAAACACAAACACAAATCATACACAATCTTTTAAACAGAAAAATGTTTCTTCTGTTAACAGTGTTACAAACAAAACAACAGTCCTGTGACCGACTGTAAAGACTCGACAGATTCCTGCAGCTCTTGGTAATAAATATATAATGTTAATCTTTTACAGCACAGTTAATCATCATCTGTCATTGTAAGAAATCATAAACTGATAAGAAATGAATCATCCACAGGTGGTGATCAAATACTGATGTTCTTTTAAAGGGCCTTTGGCAAACACTGAAGGATGTGACTTTTATCACACACGTGTTAAAATGTCATGTCTGTCATTACATCACAATCTGGATCTGTGATATCAGCATCAGTTACTACGATTGGAAGTTTGCAATTCTGGTTTGTTGAACTCGGGAGACGATTTATGAATGGGTCTAAACCACGAGCACTCATTTCACTGTGAGATTTTATGCGAGTCAGTTTTATGTTCCCCTGTTTCTCTGTGGTTCTCCTGTTTTACAGCTTGTTCCCCTCTGATGTTCTATGCCCACTTGCCATTTCATACTTTTCCTGCTGTTTCCTCACAGTCAGCCTGTCTATGTGGGCCTCACATTACTGTGTGTAAACTATACGTTTACGTAGAAAGAAAATATTTGCAGAAACTGAAGCAATATTTGTAATATCAAGTCTATAAGAAAAAAAGAAGAGCTTCGTTATTTATATAGGACTTTAATTGTAGACATATAAGTTACAGTAGCACAGCTGTGAGCTCAAGACCATTAGCATTTCACTTTGTAAAATGTGCTTATGTACAACCAGTCAGCCTTTGACATATTTTGCTATTGAGAGAAAAGCAGCTGCAGTCAGAGAGAAAACCTTCCAGTCTCCCTGACTGGCTGCTGAGTCACCCATTTTCTTCTTCCACTATCTGTCAATGTGTTTTTCTATCTGTCTAAAAGCGGCTGTTCTACTATAGCCACAGTAAAAACTGTAAAAACATTAAAACCTTAGAAAAGCTGCCGCTTCAAAGAAAAAAAAACATTTCTGGAAGACGTGAGCTTTGACTGTGGCCTCAGGAACTAGATGTTCTTCCTTATTCTCCTCCTCCTTCCTGAGTTTGTAACAACCATCATTTTGGAGTAGTTGTTAGCTGCCCCCACTTGGAAGGCAGCCAAATTATTTTGTTTTGCAGAGAAAAAGTTACCATGGTTAATGCTCAAGGTAACAGGGAACATGACCTCCAGAGTGTTGTTGAGAGACTGAGTGGGCCACATCGCGTTGGTCTCCACCTGCGGCAACTGATTTCTTGTGGAGATAATATGATGATTGTGTGTGTGCATGTGTGCATTATCTTACCTGCCTCTAAACCATCGCTCTGATACACACTCTTGTGGTGCAAACAGGTGGTGTTTTGTCCTCCACACACCATGCAGGCGTCCTCCTGCTGCTGTGAACCCAAGATAGAGTCACAGCCAGGCTTCTGTGGGACAAACACAGAGCTGTCTGAATAGTCTTGTTTGATTAAGTGTGTGTAGACACAAAAAAGGCCTGGAAATGTCTAACCTTTCCTTCTGTTTTGTCTCTGACACGAGTCTGTCTGCCACAATGACACAATTCATCTCACCCTCCTCAATTAGTCCAGTTCCCAGGGGGACTAAAACTTTGCTGCTCTGGTTCCATGAGTGTAGGGGCTACAGATATGTTTTAACAAACTTATCTAGATAACTTATCTTATCTAACTTAACTAATCTTTAACTTTAAAAAAAAGTCAATCAAATGCGAAGGTTCCCACACCGTAGAACAACATTCTAGGGACCTCACAAGCACCTCTCCCCCATCGAAGGACCTAAAAATGCACAGAAATACTGCATGCATTTCTGTGTCCACAACAGCAAATTCAATATGGTTGAAAGCACAGTTATTTTCAGCCAAGTGAGATCTGTGAGATGTTTAGATGAAGATTAGATTTAGTCTCACTTTGACTATCTAACTATCCTTGAATGATGACAAATACAGAGTATTGAGACTAATGGAGGTTACCTACATAAACTCGAGTAAATATTGTGAAGTCTCCAGATAACATGTAGTTATGCCTGTAATCTCTCTTTGGATGTTTTAACCTTTAATTTTCCCAGTGGTCTTCTTCAGCTGTTAAGTGATCTGTTACCATGAGCACAAGTCTGTTGCACTACGGAAATAACTATTGTTCCAATACAACATTGCAAAGATTCCAACCACTCAGAAGCAGTTCTCCAGTCTCCTCTCTATTTTATATCATTGCTGACTGTAATAAATCAAAAATTAATGCCAAAAAGTTGACGTCATTCCCCAATTTTATTTGGCGTTTAACCTACTTCTTTGATTTCAGATAATAGATTAAAATATCATCACTACAGTATTAGTTGTCTGTCTTTCTCAGTCACTCACTCATGCACGCACAGACAGACACATTCACACAGCGGCCATATGTTTTTCAGTCTGTTCCCAATTTGTGACCTGCACAGCTCCACACCAGCTGTAGGCTTTATCTGCTTCCTGTTCAGGACCTGTGCAGCTCTGGCCTAAGCCAGCACAAGTCCACAGCACATACATCTACATTTTTACATTAGCCCGTGCCACTCTGTAGGATGCACACGTGCACGTGCAAACACAGACAGCCAAATTCTGAGACGTTACATAAACATAGACACATATTAGTCCTTTGTCAGCTGTGTGAAAACAATTTGCTTTGGCTGCAAGTTTGACTTTGTGTCTGTTTAATATTTATACTGCATTTCACGTAAGAACACGTAAATATGAGAGGGTTAAAACTAATTAAAACAAAAAAAAAATTCAGTTTCACACAAACATTTTTACAGTATATTTCCACTCACCAGGCAGCGTCCATTGACACACATTCCACCCGACTCCGTGTTGCAAGCTGTGCCATCAAGTACACGCCCAAAGTTGTAGTAGAAGTTGTGACCCAGGGCTAAACAGCTCAGTTCACAGGGGTTGGATCCTGAGAGGAAACACCTTTAGTCAGAGGCTCATTAATTTAATTTGAAAAAGAAAGAGAGACTTGTGCCAACAGTGGAGTGAGGAACAGGTGAGAGGTAAAAACAGGCAGGAGACGACGAGAGCTGTCAGGTGGAAAATTAATGGGACACGTTTGGATTATAAAGCCAGTAGCAAACATGGGAGTCATGACAGAATGGAAAACATGGAAACAAATATTACAGTATCTGAGATACAAGTGGAAAAATACAAGACACTCTGTCTGTAACCCAGCAGCTCCTTCAGATGTTTCCATCTCCGTCTGTTATTAAATCCCTTTTACAATTGGGACAAAAAACGAGTGAGGGGCAAGTTTGACAGATAAAATATGAAGTACTGCAATGCAGGACTATGAAATGATTAAACTGTGAAATCTTTTTTACAAAAAATGTGAAACGTGTGTATATTTACTGTAATTCAAATTTTAACAATTAATGATACAATGAATTAATTATTTAATGATGTATTTATTGATTTGTGTCTGTCCAGCCATAGTTTTACCCACTGCTGTGAAAAAACACTTTCTGTTTCTTACAAACTTGTTTTGACTGTTTTTTTTCCCACTGACCTCCATGAAAGGTGGTCCATCTGAAGGAGCTGCCAGCCACTAATGGTCTGTCATTGAAGGCACTGCACTGCATCTCCCTGAAGTCCTCAGAACCAGCAGGGCACTGCTGTAGACACAGACACAAACATACACAACCTTTGAGCATGTGAGGACACGGTAAATTAGTGAAACTTTCTTAAATTGATTTTCTGAGTATTTGAACTGATACTGACACAGAAAGAAAGTCTAAATGCTGAATTATTAGGCATTAAATAAAAGTAATGGCGATGCACAAGTTCTACAGAATGTGTGTCTATAATTCAACAAGCTACACATGCTTAAACATGCTATAACACACTAACTACCACGCGGTCACACACACACACACCCATACGCAGACAAACATACACATTATTTGTCTGTGGGCTGACTGCAGCAAGACTGTGTTAATGTGTCGGTGAAATTCCAGTTCACACCCATGTTAATCCTCAGACGCTACTCCAGCACCCAACGCACCTTTGTTACCGGCTGGTGGAACAAACTGCCACCATTGTTCTAGGCTGTTTGCCATGAGAGTCACTCTTTAGTACGGTGAAAAACGTCATAACGGACATACCTTGGTGTTGCAGATCTTGTATTGCCTGGGATCTCCATAGCACGGTCCACCCACAGGGTTTCTAGGACAGAGACATAAGAGAATGAGTATTAAGAGCCCAAGTGTGTGTGTGTGCGTGTGTGTCAAATAGATTATTTTTTCCTGTGTGATAAAAACCACGGTCACATCCGTCTGTATGTCCTTTTTTCAGTGAACACAATAAATGGACAAATTAATTTAAAAAAATACTGAACTGTACAAATAATATAAATATCCAATTTATATGAAGTGCTTTGGTCACCTGGTGATGCAGGTGCGTGTTCGCATCGAGGCCCCACCACCACAACTGCGGGAACAAACCGACCAGCCATTCCACGATGCCCACTCATTCCTGAACTGCAGCTGATGTTGAGCACGTGCTCGTCGCACCAATGAGGCGTCACTGGAAGGACCCCACGTTGAAACCCAGGACGACTGCAACAGAGACAGAATAAAGGACAGACACAAAGAGAGGACGTACTGTGTAACTAATTTATAAAAAATCATCAAAATAATTGATAAAAACGTCACATAATAAAACATAAAAATGTTTAAATAATATATTAATGTAAAATATAAAAACGTCAACAATAGGTATTGCATGTAGTATTTTTCACAGGAATTATAATGTCACGAGTTATGACAGAAACGCAGTGAAAATGAGCAAGAATGAAGTGGTGATTAAACAGAACCAAACAAGTTTACGACTGAAAATGTCCCCACGTGTGTGTGTAAAAAAGTATAAGTGGATAAGGAACACAGGCAAAAGTAGGTTAAAGGTTTATTGAGGTGACTTTTGTTGTGCAAACCCTAAAAACACATTAGTCACAGCTATGAAGTCAACGGTAAAACAATTTAGAAAAATCTACTAAATAGTTAACAGGACACAAAATGAAACCATGTAAAACTGGTGAGTTAAGATTAGCAGAACCAAACAATAAATGTCGTTAGAAGAAATTTGAACAGCATTTCTCAAACGCATTCCAGAGGTTTTTCCCTTCAGGAGGAGAAAGAGGAGGAGGAGGAGGAGGAGGAGGAGGAGGAGGGGGAAGAGGAGGAGGACTGTAACTGGCAGCTTTCCCATACAGGAGCAGGCTCACTGTGAACATGCGCACACACACACACAGAAACCTGTGCACTGACTGGCCATCACGTCTCACAGCAGAGTCACCTGAGGTCTCACTCATTAGTTTTCCCACAGGTCAAATTAAGATCACAGCGGGAGAACTGGTGGGTTGGCGGTAATCATTATTAAAACTGATTTTTGACCTTTACAATTCAACACCAACACCACACACTGGTGAGGAGAGACAAAGTCTAGAGTGATAAAAATGTTGTACATAATCAGTCAGAATCCCTGGGTAAAAAAGAAGGTTAAAAAAACAACAGGCAGACAAATGTTTTCACCTCTGACCTCATCATCATATCTCCTCTCCTCCTCTCTCATATCACCATCAGCAGACCACTGCTCCATGTCTGCAGAGTTGTCTGCAGTCGACCTTCTACACTGAGGGCACAAAGACGACAACTCCTAAAACAAACACAACAACTAACACTCAAACACCCACGCACGTCTGACTCTTTCCTTTTGTACAGTGAACTATATTTTCGTCTGGACCAACAGCTTTCTCACAAGATTTGGTCTGCCCTCTTAACCTGCAGTTTTGTTAAGCAATCGTACAAAGAGCCACAGTGACCGGTCACATGAATGAACCACCAGCCTGTCTGTTTGCATGTCTTGGTCTGATTGTTCTGTTCTTTACTCTGACCAAATGTTGACAACACATGCAGATCCAGAAATTCTACAAAACTGGAAACATCTTGTCTAAAGGACATTATTTTTTTACAATTTCTCTTTGATCTGTGTCTGTAATTGTCCATTACAGACGCAGCAGGCCCCACCATGCACCACACATGCACATGAATTAAACTGTCCAGCTCAGACACAAAGTACATGAATTTCCCTCTGTCATATCAACATCAGTTGCTGTCTTTCATTATGGTGTAACTGAAGCTGTAACACATGAAAATACTTAAACCAAAAAGTGGAAAAACAACAGTTCTCTTTCTATGGTGCCTTGGTATAATTTAATATGTTCTCCCTTTGGTCTTTTCTCTTCCTCTGAAATGGTGAAACCTTCAGGTAAATACAACAAACAACGTTCAGTCGTTGATTATAAACCAATAGTTGGGCTTAAAACTGACAATAAATTGTCATTTATTTTATGTGTAACATTAAAATAATAAAAAAAATAACAAGTTGCTTATTAATAATGTGTGATAAGTAGACCTTGACCTTGTTACATCTTCTTGCCATAAATTCTTTTAGGTGTGAAGTTCCAGTTTTGGAAAGTTTCTTTATGTAAGTTAGTTTGTTTGCTAGTGTAGAATATGAGCATAGCAGCAGGAGCAGTGTCTTAGTGAGACGTGTTTACAACAACAGATGGTGAGGGTTGGTGTCTGGTCTGTGCATTCTACTGTCAGGACACTCGCCCACCCGTTAACTGTGAATTATCTGACGATTTTCCTCACATGGTCTCACTCAGACATCACAGATTGGCTGCCAGGCTGGCAGGCAAACTTCTGGAAAATGTCCACAGCAATTTTCGTGCACATTCTCACACACAGACCCTCTGGACATCACATTTTCAGGAACATGTCTGGACTTTAGTGCATGTCTGTGAGGTGACAACATAACAAACAGTGATGAAAGATTGACGCAGTGGCCGCTGGGGAAAACTTAAGAAAGTGGACAAATTAGAGCACGGCGGCCAATTCATCCACAGTAGAATGAGTGATGGCTGAAGGGCAGGGGACCATTTCTTAGACAAAACACTGACAGAACACACACATGCTGCAAAAACATGCACTCTGACCTCGGCCATCACTCACATCCAATATTGGTCAAACTGCTGCACTTGGTTTATCATCTTAATGAGCAGGTTTTTCCAATGTCAAACCTGAGAGGTGGGATTTTTTGGCCGTGCCATTTAGCTTAATAACAACAATTATCCCAGTCAGATACAAGGTGAAAAAAATGGAAATCAGTAAAAAGCTGTGAGTGTGGCCCAGTGGGGTTTGACAGTCCACTTAGAGCAGCAGCTGAAAATATTTAGGAAATAATTAGGCTTCTTCAAAGACAATTCTCACTGACAGAGAAAACAATATCATGTTGAAACAGTAAACATACTTTACTTAAGTGTCTATATTTAGTTGACAGATTAACATCAGTGTCTTAGTTACGCCATAAACTCTATAAAGGACCAGACAGAGCTACAATCTCTGAGATTTAGAAAAATAGTAAAAAGTTACACTGCTTTTATAAGTAACTTGGTTAGATAAAGTTCTGTTTAAAAATGATACTAGCGTAAAGTGATATTTCATTTAATGGTCTTCGCAGACAATTACCAAATATAATGTTAAGGTTCATATGGATAATAAAATAAATTAGTACTATAGTAGTACAATAAAAGAAAATACATTAAAAAAAATCATTTTCATCATGAGTCAAAGGGTTAATCAAATATCTATAACTGGAATGTCTTTTGTCAGTTTAACACATTTTGGATTTAGTGAATGTATAGATTCAAATTCTAAAGGTTATTTTACATTAAAATAGCCTGATATTAAAAATCTAACGTATATGTTCCCTGAAAAGTGGTCACCATGTGACCTCATCTTACTTTTAATTGCCGGTTCAATGTGGGAACTTTAACTTCTACCTCGCCAACCTGTGGAAAATGTCAGATGGCGGAATAGTGGGAAAAAGATTTCCGTCTCTGTGCCAGCTTCAAAGGCAGTGACTAACTTTGAAGCCAGGACCGTTACTGCTGTGTAAACAGCCGTGCAGGAATGTTGGGACAGAAATGTGACGTATTGTCATCATGCAGTCTACTTCCAAAGCTGTTTAAGAGAGAGAGGAGCATCTGCAGACAAAGAACAAAGTCCAGTCTTTGCTTTTAACTGTAGACGGCGAAACAGAAACACAACAGTGATTTGACATTCCATTCTTAATGTGCTTCAGTCTTACAGTACCTACACCTAACTTATAGATCATTGGTGCACCTCTCTTTCTCTTACCACAAAGGTGCAACGCTGCATCATCACACACACTGGGGTGGCATTTGCAGGCCTCGCTAGCTTCTTTGTAAGCGCACAAAAGAGGTATAAAGAGGGCGGGGGGGATCAGGGGTAATTTACAACAATCTCTGTGTTGAAGGGACTATTGAAACAAATCAATGTTGAAGCGAAAGGTTTGGAAAGTGACACATTTTTGTTGAGACAACGCAGACTGTGATGTTAGTGGTCGCACTTACGCTCAGCTTGGAGGGAGAGCAGACAGGAGCGACCATCAGCAGGACAAAAGTCAGGGCCTGGCACACGGTCAGCTTCCTGGAGATATTGAAAGAAACAACCACGGTCAACTGACTGATGACGTCACCTTGAACATTTTTCACATTACATGCACATGAATGCTGAAACACAAGGGAGAAGACGCAGAAGGCATGGCCGCAGCGGGAAAGAGAGGAAAATAAATAAAAAGATGGGAGTGATACAGCAGAGGTCAATAGGTCACAGATAATATTCACAAATACGCTGCCACGCTAGTGGAAACCCCCATGGCCCTGAGCCAAGGTTAAGAACACCCTACCAATACGAAAGCATCATCAATTTTTCAGAAGACCACCTTCACCCGGCCCTGAGGGTCTTCTTAAGCCTCACACAGTTGAAGAGGTGGAGGAGCCACGTGGCTGATACAGGTCTGCCTGTTCAAATGAGTGAAACAGAATAAATAAGTTTGACTATTGTCTTTTCTAAGTAAACCTGAAAATACAAGGCAGATGAGGACACAACATCTGTGTTTCTAAGGGAATACCAGTGCCTCAAAGCAGAAGTTATTATTATTTCACCTCATGTTTTCTTATAGCTGGACTTGACCTGAACTGCAAAGAACTAGTGTTTAAATATCGTCCACAGTATTATTACATCGCTTACTGTTGAAGCATGTAAGAGAACAAATGAGCTACCAAAATACTAGAGCCCCACTTGATCTATAGTGCATGTTGTGTTTGTTTAGCTCCTTGTTCACTTCCTTGCCTTCGGGCAAACACTGTATGACAACTGAGAGACTAAGCTTCTCCCACTGACTCATCAAAATGATAAGTGCTTTTCTGAGAAGTACCAGTGCTTCTTGGAAAGCCCCTCTTTGACTACTTCCTGGCACTGCCTTTTGACAGTCAAAGTGTGACATGCTCAAGAGAACAGTATTTGATGGAGTACGTCATCACTGCTGATGTGCCTCTTAGGACACCACTGTTTAGGGAGGAAAACTAACTGACACTCTTCATCCTCCTCCCAAATCCTTAAATCATTCTTCATCAGCTCCAGGTCTTCTTGTCATCTGTGATCATTTGTCTCTTTTAGCCCTCACTAATCTGCATGGAATAAAAATTGGCTTTGGCTCTGACCCAGGCCAGTAGTTCCCTCTCTTTAATTAAATGATAAACATCTGCTTCACACTTGGTTTGGCAGCCCTTCCCTACAGTGGGAGCTACTCCCATCCTGGCCTCACATGGGGAATTCATATCAGTAGAACGGAGACGGTCACACCGACCAAGACTTGACTGAAAGTCAAGATTGATGTTAAAAAAAAAAAAGGTTTCCCACACACACTGTCTTCACAAAAGATATTTAATATGTAAAATCATAAGAATGCTCATACTTTTGGTCAATGTTTTTACAGCGTTGAACCACAGATGGAGCCCAGACTGAAGTTAAGGTCTGGTTTTCATCAAACAATTTTCTAATAACGTATCAAGCTTGAATATTAATCTTTCCTAAACCTTGACCCAGAGCTGAAGCTATTAAAACATAAACCATTGAAAGTGTCACATGTATCCACTGAAAGTCAAAATCCACAAATCACGTAGGCCTGGATTGCACTTTCATTTCTTCCCTTCTTTCTTTCTTTTTTTTTTTTTTTGACAAATACTCACTTTTCATCTTTCATTTCATTCATACTGAAACATGAGTCCACTCCACACATTCACACTAAAGCTGACTGATTTTATTCCTGGAGCTGCACTGTTTGATGAAGAGTTTACTCCCATTTGAAATGCGTGACCTTTGACTATTAGGGGAGTGGTTGCACTGGTGTGTGTGCTGACAGACATTTTCATACGACTTGAATGGACCTGAAACTCCTCATTGTCTTTAAAGTCATAGTGAGTCACTAACTTTATAGTGCTGCACTCCTCGGAGCTGCTCTGATGACACGGTTCTTATTTATGGTCCAGACAGAGATTATAGTTTCTCTACTCATTCTTGACACACCTTTAGTTGTCTCTAAATCTTAGAGTTTAGATTTAATTAAACGTTATAAAACAGGGTAAAAAAAGATGACGGCAGTAATCCTCTGATTTTGACATAATTTCACACAGTTTCACTTTTTCTACAGCTTCCATTGTTCTAACATGAAAAGACAGTGGCTCTGGACACTGAGTGTCGGCCCCCTCCTGGCGGGGGCCCTTACAGAGTAGGACACAGGTCGGCCCACCTCCTCCTGCCCTCATTAAGACCATAGCTGCTTATTAGGGAACAGCTCCAGGGCTTGGAGAAGAAAACACTTTAATCTATATACTGTAAGACCATAGATGTTTATTTTGACTGACATTATTTGTAATTATGAGAAGAAAAATAGCAGAAACGCCCAAGAAAAACAACAGGAAACTGCTGTGAATGAAGTGAGTTTTTACTTAATTGATACCTAATTGTAACGTAACAAAGATCTTAATTACATAATTATTCACGCTGCCTTCTAATGATATATTATTTTAGGTGCCTGTGCTGCTGTAGCTGTAACAATCAGTCAGTCCACGTGCAGACAGTCAGACAGGTGAGGCGACCTCCCCCAGGTTCATGAGCAGAGGTTAAAACCTGCACTGCATTTATATTCCTGCGTGATGTGACTGAACCTTTTCTTGGACACACCCTGACAGACGGCTCACACACTTCGTCCCTGTTCAAATAAACAGCAGCTCAGAGACTCACTGAGTGCAGGGCAGGTGAGAATGTGCCCTCTGACCTCTGGTAAGGTGCGAGCCCTGTCAACATTGGAGACACCTGACTGAATGATCGGTGCTTTTTCGGTGTTTTCATGTCGGATCTCCCTCTGAGTCTTTGTATATGTGACCTTTAGGTGTTCTTTTTACAACTGTCCGTTCACCCACAGAGTTTGGAAAAGCCATACGTCTTCCAAAGAGAGGTCAGCCCTGACCTTCGACCCAGCAGAAGCTTTAGCTGTGACTGACACAGCCTTTGGGAGAAGCCCAGTGGAGGGGCCGATGGTTATATGGAGCATGCCGCTGAATGAATTGGCACAACCTCTAACAGATGTTCAGTGTGAGAGCTCTGTGTCAGCCCTGACCCCGGGATCTGTATTGACTATGAATAAAGCCGCAACAATCAAGAGCTCAGAGGCCTCAGGCAGCACGCATTTACAAAATTAAACACAGGAGGGTCTTTGTGTCGCAGCAGCTGCTTCGCTTGATGAGGTAGTTAAATATTTTTGGGAAAATAAAGAAGTTTATAACATTGTATGTCTGGACAAACACTAAGAGGCCGTGGTGGTAAATCACTAAATGAGAGACAGACATTGTTTTTTTGTTGTTGGTTATGTTGTTGCCAAAATGTCTAGAACCAGGCCCCGCTCGACTATGGTCTCTTCCTTTCTTTTTCGCTTCATTTCACTTCATTTCATTCGCTCCTTCTTCGACAGGAGAACAAACTTGGTACAGCGTCATACCTCAGGGATTATGAGATTATCTTTTCAAAGCCACTTTGCCTAAAGCAGCCCCTCACATTATGGTAGACATAGTGGCTAAGCAGGAGAAACATTAGGACATGTACGTTAGGTAGAAAAAACAAGAGCATGGACCACAGGATAACAAATACCCACATTTTTAAATAAATTATTTCAAGTGCTAAAAGTAAAGAGTAAAAATAATCTCTGCTTAAACACAACAATGATTTCTCTGTAGAACTCCTAAATATGAATCAGTACCAAAGCCAAAATGGTTCACATCTTGTCCCAATATGTCCGTCAAACATCATTGGAATTCTTTCATGGGGGATTTAAACACCATGCTAGCAGACTAACAAAGAGACAAAATTGACAAAAAATAACTTTATCTTTCTTAAAAAAATACAGACAGACAGACACCAAGGAACAAATATTTACAGCTGAACCTTGAAACAAGACATTTCCCCTTTGGTACGGAAGCTGGTCGTTTTCTCTAAGAAAATAGTCCTGCAGATCAGGACCATTAGATCGTTGACCAGCTTTAGTTATTTAGATTAATAGCATTTTTAGAGCTGATGGTGGAGTATGTAGATATGTTTTAATATTGATTCATAGAATCGTACAAATGTAATCCTGTCTATTATATTTATTGGATTAAAAATATTTTTTATGCATCTTGTCTTGAACCCTACTACAAATATGTTCCAAATTTTAAATAGATTTAAGAAAATCTATAATAACAAAATTAAAACCTAATCGTCAAAGCTTGGTTCAACCAATTAGGTGGTAAAATGTTACAGATTGCTAGTTGATAGGGGCTGGATTATTGTTTTTCTTTACTTGAGATTTATTTTTGTCATGCTCCATTTGAATTAATAAAACCAAATGTTACAAAATTATTTGGTTATAAATATCTTAGATTCAAGATTAGACTTGTATATACTCATGTAAATGACTGGAGCCCATTGTACACCTGTCAGCCATCTTAGACAGACAACATCGTCCTGTTAAACTGTTTTAAATGTCCTTTATGATTCAGCCCAAAAGTTTGACCTTCTCTAATTTAAATTAGCCTTCTTTGTTTAAATTCTGCACCACTTTATAAAATGTTTTTTATTGCAGAATTGTCCATTATTATCAGCAACAATCACTGTATGCAGTACACAGTGGGTCCTGTTTTGCCAAGTTCTCATCTATCTGGAAAGAGAGAGTAGACACGTATTAGACGTGTTGGCAGAAAGATCAAGATGAACTGTCTGATACAAATGAGATAATTACACTCACAGACGCCGAAGATCACACTGCGAAATAAAACAGCTGCTGACTAAAGTCATGTTTATCAGATTTTGGATAAGTTTTGTTCAAAAACAAATATCTAATGCGACGCAGCTTTGTTTCATGGCTGGGATTAGAGGGTTTTTTTTCTCTCAAACTGTCTAAATATTATGGTCAAAATACTGTTGCCTAAAATGCATAATTAAGACTTTGTGTGGATGAAAGATTTGAATATTTCCAAGCCCCCTCAAAGTACTACTTTTACCATACTGTGTCTGTGAGGTGGTGGAATCATCTGGGAGTGATTAGAGTATTTGCCTGTGATCGTACATCTGTAAAAAATGAATGTTTCAGCACAAATATTTACTACCTCTGCCTTTGAGGGACATATTCTAATTCAAACAGTAAACAATATAAGTTTAAATAACTTCCTGACTTCTGGGGATACTAGAGGAAAACACAACTTAACCATTTTTTTTTCTTCTTAAATACTGATTTCCTGGCTTATCTAGAATTGAAAGCCAGGACAGGAAGGAAGTGAAATTCCTCCCTGCAGGACACAGTGACATCACTGTGTGTAACACCTAATTACATTGCTGGTTTTGAAGGTATATGCTCAGTCTTCCATAGTAAGTAGATTAAATCTGTTCATGGGGCTTGGGGCTCCTTCCAAAACAAACATTTCTCCAGGGAGTTATCATTAGGACCCAAGGCAAATCTTTATCTCTCAGCTGTGCAGGAGAGTCCAAGGTTAATGCATGTGACAGATATTTGTCCTGACCGCGTTACATCAATTGCAGCCCATAAAAGGAAAATTTACGCACGAATGTCTTGTGTCCAGATCACAGAAAGGTCAGTGTGTATCATGTCCACAAAGGGATGTAATCCAGGAAAAAAGACAGAGCTGAGGTCACCCTAATTAATGAATTTAAAGGACATTTACATCCTGTACAACCTCCTGTGTTTGTGTTCTTTGCTGCAAGAATGGGATTAAATAAAATATGAGCATATTATTTATAGCCAGTGACATTCAGGGGGAGGGGGCTCTGTTGGAAGATGGTTGGATTCTAGTGATGAGATTTAATATCCCAGATATTGCAGGAGGATTATTGTACATACACTGGCAGGAAGTAGCTTTACAGCAGAGTGGAAATGACCTCAGGCTCCAGATAAAACATATACGCTCCACGGATGACTGCAGGATTAACTGAGATTCCAGTAACTTTAGAGGAAAAACAAAGATCAAACAAAGGCCATTAACAAAGGTCACTGTTTCTAAGGGTGTAACAAACTGAGGCACAGAGCAAACAGCGTTCAAAAAAAGTCAACTGTCCCAGGAATTTATTGCCTCCCATCCTTCACTGTATACTGCAAGAAAATTTTAAGGTTTTGCACATCCTTGCAAAGTATTTTATATGAATATTTCAAAAATCACCCAAAACACGCCTTACTATAGCCTTACCATCGTGAAAATATCCCAAAACAAAACAAAAAAAACTATGAAAGTAAATCCTGATCAATTTCATCCTGACATAAATTAGTAATACCATCATGTAAAAGATGTCCTGCTGGTGGAAGACTCAGCTCAGCAGGCTAAATGAAGCCTCAGATGTGCATGGTGCAGTTATTAGCGTATAAACCAACATGCTTACAGCAACATAAACTGTTTTGGTATGTGTTACAAAAGTGTGACATTAAAACAAACAGGATAGCATAGTTATTTTCTTTTGGACTATGTACTATGATTACAGTCAGTTTATAATATATTCGATGCTGATGATGATGGTCAACAATTTATATGAGATTTTCACTGATACAATAATACTGAATTATGCATGCATGGTGGGGTCTTATTAGGTGGTAGTTCATGTTACTCTGCACTTGCCTTGACACTCTGAGCCCATTAACATTACAGGTGTGTTCACACTGATTGAGTTGGATGGTATGTTTCCAACTAATTAATAACTTTCTTTAGTGAATAAAAACATGTATATACACATACATATATACATCTACAGTATGTGTTCCAACAACTGTTGTTGGATTCTCCTGCAGACAAACATTGAACTTGAACCTGACACACTCACAGGTTTACCTGCTCAGCGGTGAGAACATCTTGGACAGACAGGTGTGGACTCAGGTGTGTTCAGGTTCAGCTGTGATCACACTCACGTCTTCTGCTGCTGCTGCATCACGGTGTGCGCTCTGAAGCACAGTGTATCCTGGCTGCAGGCTGCTGCCTCATACAGGATCCACGGACATCCTCCATATCCAACTTTATCACTAGTGACGTTATGTTTTCTCTTTCGGTGGACACTTTAAAGTTACTTTTCCGACAACACTCTCAGCTGCAACACTCATTCACCTAAAGAGCAGAATTAGTCCAAACACATCACATCAACCTCTTTTGGGAGAGAGAACCGCGTCTGTCTCAACTTCACCTAAAACTGAATGGACAAAAAAACAAAACAAACTCTACTCTCTAAATGTCATTTAAAAACCACCAGTTTTGTTTACATCCATGTTATTCCCGATGGAAAACAGTTAACGCGTCCTTGCAGTGTGTTTGGAGTGTGTTGGAGATTTCCCACCGCCTCCAGGCAGGTGAACCTCAGTCCTTAGTGGAAAAGTTCCAGTGCCTGCTGAAAGTTGTTCTTCTCTTCCCTCCAGAGCAATAAAGGAAATACAGCGTGTGTCCAGTTTGAGACGGAAGCTCCACAACGACAAACGCAGTCACCAGCAGCGTGCCAGCGTCCTGGAAGAGAGCGTGGTGTGGCGCTAATGGTACCGA